ATTCTCAGTGAGTGCTGGAGAGATAGGTCAGGGGTTATAACCCTTACTGGCATGTTGGGGACTCCAAGCCAATCCCCGGCACCACTATGGTGCCACGGGTCACTTCTGAACACAGAGCCAGGAATAGTCCTTGAACACTGCTGGGTGTGGGCCAAATAACCTGCTTATTTCCCTTCCAAAATCAATCTTTTGCAGAGAAATAGTAAAGGAGTTAGGTCATTTGCCTGGCATCCCTCCTATCCTGGTCCAAATCCCCAGTCTCCTGACACAGAGCCAGGAACAGTCCCTGAGCACTGCCAAGTGCGGCCCCTAAACAAACAATGAACAAAGAGAGTTCTTTCCGATGAGGGGAGAAAGGGCAAGTTGAAAAAGGTGTTTCAATGACCTATCGATCCCTCTGGAGGATTTTTCTCCCTTCTCTGTGTAATGTGCAATGTTTAACTTGCAGTTTTTCTCTGTATGAACTTCCTTGCATCAGCAGAATTTTTTTTTGGTTTAAGAAATTCCTTATTGGAGCTGGAGCAATAGTACAGTGAGTGGGTAGGGCGTTGGCCTTGCACGCGGCTGACCCAGGTTCAATCCCTGGCATCCCATATGGTCCCCCAAGCACCGCCAGGAGTAACCCCTGAGCATCACTGAGTCTGACCTAAAAAGCAAAAGAGAAAAAAAATTCCTTATCTTGATGTAGTGGTTAGTGGGAGAGTTAGAAACGTAACCAGGGAGGCACTGAAGGCCAGTTCTCTGAATGACCCATTGAGAACCAGGCAAAGACGAAAGGGCCATAATTCGTAAAGATGATCAGAACAGAGGAAGCAGACCAACCTGGTTATGTGGGCAAGGGGGTTGAGAGGGGACACAGAGAACTTGATGAGGACTCTATGGAACTGAAACAGAATTACTAAACAGGAAGCAGTTTCCTGGCAGCAGGGACTAACCCCAGGATGTACCCGCCCACCCTGTCTGTTGTCAGAGACCAAACGGATAATGCTTCTGATGATCTTGTTAAAATCCAAGGCTGCTTTATCTTGGTTTTAGAAATAACCCCAACACTTCCTTTTCATATGACCTTGGCAGATAACTTAAACCAAGCTCAATTAGAGAATAACAAGAGTCTTCCAGAGAAGGTGTTGGTACTAAGAGGAAAAATATGTTTTTAACAATGAGCACCACTAAGTCTCCTGCCCACCACCATCCAAAAAAAAAATTCTTTAATTGGATTGTTACAGGCATTTCAGAAACATCTTATGAAATGATAATACAGAAGCAAAATAAGCTGGAGATGGAGGGGAAGAATAAGTTCAGTTTTCCTCTCTGTTTTCTTATAGGTAGATCACTATTTGCAGGGTTTTGTATAGATTAGAAGAGGAAGACAGTAGCCTAAATCTTTCTAAATCAGGTCAAGATAAATCATTTTACTAATCTCTGTCTGTCTCTCTTTAGCTGTCTCTCTCTCACCCCTTTGTGATTAACATACGTCTCCTTTCAAAGCAAATGCTGGTTAAAAAAAGAAAAAGTAAATGGAAGTATGTGTATGTGATTCAGTATGGGGAGGGGGCCGCTTGCTCTTCAGAATCTGATTTTATTTTGGGGGGGGTTCTTTTTTATTTATTTATTTTTTAATTTATATTAGTGAAACACCATGAGGTACAGTTGTAGACTTACAAATTTTATGCTTGGGTTTCAGTTATACAACGATTGAGTACCTATCCCTCCACCAGTGCCCATTCTCCACCACCAATGATCCCAGTAGTCCTCCCACTCCCCCACCCCGCCCCACCTCTATGGCAGGGCATTCCCTTTTGTTCTCTCTCTCTTTTTGGGTGCTGTGGTTTGCAAAAGAGGCATTGAGTGGAAATCATGTTCAGTCTAGAGTCTGCTTTCAGCATGCTTCTCCCATCCTGGGAGGATTCTCCCAACACCCTTTATTTGGTGCTCCCTTCTCTATCTGAGCTGCCTTTTCCCCCAGCATGTGCAGCTGGCCTTTAGGCCATGGAGTTAACCTCCTGGTACTTAGATATTCTTGGGTGTTAGTCTCCTATTTTTGTTACTTTATATTCCCCAGATGAATGCAGTCTTTCTATGTCTGTCCCTCTCTTTCTGACTCATTTCGCTTAGCATGATACTTTCCATGTAGAGTCTGTTTTTAGCCACTAAGTTTGCCACTGTGGTATATCTGTAAGGGTTACATTGCAGCTTCGCTTTCCATGCACTCTTTGGCTTAAGAAATGCTTTCCTCTCAGGGTGTTGTTATAGTAGTGGGGAAGTTAGAAAGCAGGTAGCTAAGGAAGGAACCAGGGAAGCCGCTAGAGGCCGGCCCGGTCCTCAGTGCCTCCCCTTCCGTGAGCCGGGCAAAGATGCGAAGGTCCTAAGTCAGAAAGTTACAACAGAACAGAAGAGCCAGGCTGTGTGTCCCTATGGATCTTAAAAGAGAATGTTTCTATCCCAGAGATTCCCAGCAACAAGGGTAGAAAGGTCTTTATGGCTAAAGACTCCAGGCCTTCTCAGAGTCGGGGTGGGTAATCTCCCCCCAACTCCCTGTACTTCCCGAAGAACTGGCAGCCATGCCCAGTTAAATAATTAGCTTCCCAGTTAACTTCCCAGTTAAATATTCTGGATTCTCTGGAGTATATGGCCACATTTGCAGCTAACCGACATGTCCAAACTACAACACTGACATCCCAGTAGGAGCACACCAGGCTGAGACTGGGATCTAACACAGAAGCCAACCAGTGTCAACTAACAAAAACATTAACACAGAAGGGTTAACCTGCGACAGCAGCTTAGTAAAACCTTAGAGAAGGATGCCCCATGGTGTGATACAACAATTTACACAATTTTCCCCCCTAGGGACATAATTTTTTGATCATTCTGTTAGTCATTTCATGATAACAAGAAATATAAATTATTCTGGGCCTGCTTGAAGGGTGGTTGAGAAAATGGATTGGTGTTGGAATAATGGATGCCTGTAACAAATCTTCATGAACAACTTTGTAAACCATGGTGTTTGAATAAAGTGGGGGAGGGGAAGAAGGATGACTCAAACTGAAATTCAGGCCTGGTGTTTGTTGGCAGCCTTCTCCCCATGCCAGAGCTGGAAGGATACAGGGTCCTCTTCCCAGGAACCAATCCATCCACTTCTGGGTTTTTTTTTTTTTGGCTCTTTTTGGGGTCATACCCAGCAATGCTCAGGGATTACTCCTGAGCTCTGCACTCAGGAATTACTTCTGGCGGTGCTCAGGGGACCATGTGGGATGCTGGGAATTGAACCTGGGTTGGCCGCATACAAGGCATATGCCCTACCCACTGTGCTATCACTCCAGTCCCCCCCCCTTTTTTTTTTTTAACATTTTGCCTTGATTGGGGCTGAGTGATAACACAGCGGGTAGGGTGTTTGCTTTGCATGTGGCCGACCTGGCCGACCCGAGTTCAATTCCTCCACCACTCTCGGAGAGCCCAGCAAGCTACCGAGAGTATCTCATCCGCATGGCAAAGCCTGGCAAGCTACCTATAACGCATTCAATATGCCAAACACAGTAACAACAAAGTCTCACAATGGAGACGTTTGCCCGCTCAAGCAAATCGATGAACAATGGGAAGACAGTACAGTACAGTGCCTTGATTGAGTTTATGCTATTTATAAGATGGTTAATAATGGTTTCCCATGTCCATGACTTCAACACCCGACCATGCCCACATAACATCGCTTGACAATAAGCAGCCAGGCCCCAGGGGTCAGCTCTCTGGATGACAGCATCTGCAGGGAATGTGCGTGAGTGGCTTGGAAACATTTCATAACTGACACATCATATCAGTTCTGTTGCTCAGTGTCACTCACAGACATAAAGTGCTTGGCATGAGGAGAACAGGGTGATGCTGTCCAGCAAATGCAGCGATTCCTAGAAGGCCAGTGATTCCTAGAAGGTAGACAGAACCAGAGATGAAAGTAGAGTGTGACTGGAGAAGATTTTCATCCAGTCGTTCCGGGAGACTTTTTCTTTTTGTTTTGTTTTCTTTGGGGGGCCCTGTGATACTGGGAGCTCACTCCTGGCTCTCTGCACAGGGATCTTTCCAGGCAGGCTCAGGGGACCATGTAGAATGCCAAACCCAGGTCACCAGATGCCAGCAAATGCCCCACCCGCTGTGCTACCTGAGGGTACTGCTCTCTTACCTGCTGTACCACCCTCAGGAAAAAAATGTTTTGCTTGCTTGGGGAGCCACCCCCAATGGTGCTCAGGAGTTCCTCCTGGCTCTGCACTCAGGGGACACTCCTGGTGGGACTTGGGGGAACTCATGAGGTACCAGGGGTCCAACACAGGTAGCTGCATGCAAGGCAAGTACCTGATCCACTGGATTCTGGCACCTCAGGGAGATTCTTCCTGGTCATCGTTTTGTTTGAGTAAGGTGAAGTGAGCAAACTATTAGCCAAGGTCATTGGAAGAGAAAAGATGGGGATTCATGGAAGGAAGGAAGCTGACGCGTGGTTGCGGGGGAGGCTAGCTTGCAGCCATTGTTACCATGACGACACTGGTCCTGACCATCATCTGTGAGTCAAAGAGGTACTTGCTGGGACCGGAGCAATAGCACAGCAGGGAGGGCATTTGCGTTGCACGTGGCCGACCCGGGTTCGATTCCCAGCATCCCATATGGTTCCCCTGAATGTAGAGCCAGGAGCAACCCCTGTGCATGGCCAGGTGTGACCCAAAAAAGAAAAAAAAACCAAAGAGGTCCTTGCAGGCAAGGGACTAGATATTGGGGGTGGTGTCTGGAGGAGGGGACAGACCCAGAAGCAGTGAAAGACTAGAGAAGGCTTGTCAGTCATGGATGCCGTAAGCCCCCACAAAAAAAATTGGGAATGCCTAATTCAAAGAGGAGCCGACTGTGAAGATTGTGGGTGAGGTGGGTCTTCACAGTCTGCTTGGGGTACTCCAGATCAGGGGGAGGCTGGCTGCTGCATGTCTCAGGTCACCTCACGGGCCTGACGTTTCCTCTTGCGGTGACAGGTACCTCAGTCTGGAATCCTGAAGCTGTCCCACTTGCAGGAAGGAAAGTACGACTTTCAGCTGACAGTGACGGACACGGCCGGCCAGAGCAGCTCCGACAACGTGTCTGTGACAGTGCTGCCTGCCGCTTTGGCCCCCAGAGGTGAGCAGGAAGCGACAGCCCAGCCAAGCCTTTGCTCTTGGTGATGATGGATGAGAGTCTTTAGGGGAAATGTGGCATTCAGCTCGTAGTAGTTAAGGGACCCTAATGAAGGGACCCCAGTGGGCTGGGGTGGGGCACACCCTGGGGGGCAAGAATACATACTGCATGAGCACCATGTCCCTCAGCCCGTCTGTAAACGCCCCCCTCCTGTCTTCTCTGCACCTGGTCTGCTTGCCAAGTGTGTTTAGAGTGCAGTGAAGGTGTGCATTTAAGGCCAACGCTATAACGTGCCTGTGTCCACTTTAAAGGACTATTTACGCATGAAGAAAGATACATTCCTTATGATTTCACTCCCATTTGGTATAGATAGAAAACCAAAAAAAAAAAAAAAAAAGGAAACCAGTGTTCTTTATGGACCACTCTGGGCCACTGGTATGGAAAAGTTGAAAACCACTGTCCTACCAGCTTGGTAGAACTGCTGATCCATGGACTCTTATACCAGACAGAGGCTAGTCTGCAGGTATAAGAAGAACACTGAAGCAAATAAAGCAAGGATCTACCTTTATTTATTTGTTTTATGGGGGCCCACACTCAGCAGTGCTGAAGACTTTCTCCTGACTCTGCACTCGGGTAATACTCCTGACAGACTCAAAGGACCATATGGGTTGCCGCAGATTGAACCCAGGTTGGTCGCATGCAAGGCGAATGCCCCACCCGCTGTACTATCTCTCCGGCCCTGTAAACACTAACTTTTAGTTAATATTAACTTGGTCCCATTTCAGTGACAGACGACAGCATGTTTTCAAGCTTTGAATGGGGAAAATGATCCCCAAAAAAGCAAGCTATCAGTTGATGGAGCAGTAGTACAGCGGGTAGGGCATTTGCCTTGCGCAAGGCGGACCTGGATTCAGTTCCCAGCATCCCACATGGTCCCCCAAGCACTCCCAGGAGTAATTCCTGTGCATCGCTGGGTGTGACCCAAAAAGAAAAAAAAATCAAGCCACCAAATTCTTCCAGTAGGATTGACATCACTGGTCTTCAATAGGTTCCCCTAGAGAAGGACATGACAAGCCCACTCACATTTTCAATCTCTTCTTAGACTTTCGGTAGATTTTATAATGTGTCCAATGTTAGGACAGTAAGGCATGCAACTCGTTATAAGGGGGTGGGAAGTGCCTGTCAGTGTATTGTTGATGGGGTACCCGCCCAGGGAAGTTTGGAGATCACGGCTCCAGGCACAGAGGACGGGCCAGGCACATACCTCACAGGTGTGAGGCCCAGGGTTCCATCCTAGGGATGCATGGAAAACAAAACAGGAGGACCAGGAAGATAGCACAGGGTGAGGGCTGCATGTTCCCACCCCCAGATCACACTTCTGCACTGCATGGTCCCTGGGCATCCCAAGGTGTGTCCCTGGAAGGCCCCCAAGTGACACCAGAGTGGCCCTGTGCTCCCCAGTGCCACATCCTTGGGCCCGAGCACTGAGTTTTTCTGTGTTGGTTGGTCTGGTATTGTCAGGAGTGGCCCCTGAGCTGATGGGAGGCTAGCCCTACCCCCCCTCCCCTACAGCAACAAGAAAAAAGAGGGATAAATTATAAATATCAATCAGTCTCCAAACTACCAAGCAATATGTAAAAGACCTTGACATATTAGGATTTTCATGTCATGAATGTAAGAAATATGAGAGGTCCAGTGTGATAGGACAGTGTGGGGTCGGGGAGGGAGGTACTTGCCTTGCACACGGCTGACCCAAGTTCAAGCCCCAGCATCCCTTATGGTCCCCTGAGCACTACCAGGAGTAATTCCTGAGTGCAGAGCCAGAAGTAAGTCCTGAGCACTGCTGGGTATGGCCCAAAAACAAACCAAATAACAAACAAAAAGATCAAAATGTTGGCTCATTTACAAGTTTCTATTTTCTGGGACTGGAGTGATAGTACAGCAGGTAGCGCATTTGCTTTGCATGTGGTCGACCCGGGTTCAATTCCCAGAATCCCCTATGGTCCCCTGAGCTCTGCCAGGAGAAATTCCTGAGTGCAGAGCCAGGAGTAACCCCTGAGCACTGCCAGGTGTGGCCAAGAAATCAAACAACAATAATAAACAAATAAATTATTCTGTTTTTTACAGCACCAAGAATGTATCGAGAGTCAACCGATAAGATTCATTAGTAGAAAGTCGAGTTTGACAGCTCCAAGAGAAGACAAGACAGCACTCTGAAGTGTTGTCGGCCTGCCTAGTGCCAGGGTGTGGGTGTAGGGCAGAGGGACAGTCAACATCTCTAGTCCCCTCCCCATGTCTCACTGGCCTTGAGTCCTCTGTCCAGCCTCACCTCAGAAGGAGGAGGGACCCACTTAAAAGATTCTATTTTCTGGGACTGGAGAGATAGTACAAAGGGGTTATTCCTGCCTTTGCACTCAGGAATCACTCCTGGTGGTGCTCGGGGGATCATATGGGATGCCGGGAATCGAACCCAGGTTGACCACATACAAGGCAAACACCCTCCCACCTGTATTATCGCTCCAGCCCTGAAAATCAAATCTTTTAAATAGGCCTCTCCTTCTTCTGAGGAGAGCTGGATGAAGGACTCAAGGCCAGTGAGATAGGGAGGAGGGGGACTAGAGTTGCCACCTGTCTGTCCCCAGCTCTTGGGCAGTGTTACTGGGGACATCAGCCTCCAAGGGCCCAGGGCGCTTCCCGGGAATGAGGTCAGGATCAACCCCCTCACCTTCCCAGCACCTCTGCCTGCGGCTCCAGCTGCAAGCCCCTGCCACCCTGGCCCTGGGGCCTCCTGTCCCCCTACACACCACCCCGGGTCTGACCATCTTGCACGGGTGACCGGACACTTTCCCTGCACAGGATGCCTGACGGTTTGCTCTCGCTACCACTTCTTCTGTGACGACGGCTGTTGCATCGACATCACGCTGGCGTGCGATGGCGAGGAGCAGTGTCCCGACGGGTCTGACGAGGCTTTCTGCCAAAACGGTGAGTCGGGCCGCATCACATTTCCAGGCCACGGGGCAGAAGGCAGACTGCAGTCCAGCGCAGACTCGGATTGGAGATGACTCCGTGGGAATCAGCTGCAGGGTTCGAAAGCGTTTACTTGAGTTGAGTCCCACTGACAAATGCTAGGGTTTCCATATTGCTTTCCATGTTCCCTGAAGCTTCTAACCCATCCTGACAATGTGGTGGGGTGTAAATGAAAGTGACTCAGGGGTTCCTATGGTATGACGTATTCAATGTCTGAATGCCACCTCCCCAGGAGAGGAACACAGACGGGGGACCACAGATTGATGGTCAAATGGCCCTTTTATTTCCCAAACCGATAGCCTGTATAGACCATCTGAGGGGAGTTGAAGTATAGCAGGTAGGTGTGATTGAGCATTTACAGAGGTAAAGTGTTTTGACAGAGGCAACTCTTTTGGGGGAATTAACTCAAGGAGATGCTCTGTCTCCTGAGGGCTATATTGAGAAGTTCCCCCAAGGGAGACAAGCATCTATATTGGTTTTTTTGTTTGTTTGTTTTTGCTTTTTGGGTCACACCTGGCGATGCACAGGGGTTACTCCTGGCTCTGTACTCAGGAATTACCCCTGGTGGTGCTCACGGGACCATATAGGATGCTGGGAATCGAACCCGGGTCGGCCGCGTGCAAGGCAAACACCCTACCCCCTGTGCTCCAGTCCCCATCTCTATTGTTTTTCTCTTTCCCTTGCTGCTAGTACATACTAAACAATTAAGTTTATTTTTTACTAATATATGCAGTTATTTGGATAAACACAGTAAGAAACACAGATTTCAAAACTTAATTCGGTGGGTTCAGAAGCACAGGTTAAAAGCCACGCCTCTTCCCCCACCCCCGGAATTTTTTTTTTAATTAGTGAAACACCATGAGGTACAGTTTTAGACTTACAAACTTTCATGCTTGGGGTTCAGTTATACAATGATCATGTACCCATCCCTCCACCAGTGCCCATTCTCCATCACCACTAATCCCAGTATTCCTCCCACCCCTCACCTTATTCCCCCCCACCCAACCCCGCCTGTGGCAGGGCATTCCCTTTGGCTCACTCTTTAGGGTGTTGTAGTTTGCAATAGAGGTAGTGAGTGGCCATCATGTTCAGCTTATAGTTACTTTCAGCACGCATCTCGCATCCCAAGCAAGTCCTCCAAACATCCTTTACTTGGTGCTCCGTTCTCTATCTGAGCTGCCTTTTTCCCTAGCATGTGCTGCTGGCTTCCAAGCCATGGAGCACACCTCCTGGTACTTATCTCAACTATTCTTGGGTGTTTAACTCCCATTCTGTTACTTTATATTCCCCGGATGAGTGCAGTATTTCTATGTCTATCCCTCTCTTTCTGGCTCATTTCACTTAGCATGGTATTTTTCATGTAGAACCACTTGTATGTAAATTTCATGACTTCATCTTTTCTAACAGCTGCATAGTATTCCATTGTATAGATGTACCAAAGCTTCTTTAACCAGTCATCTGTTCTCAGGCACTCAGATTTTTTCCAAATTTTGGCTATTGTGAACAGTGCAGCAATGAACATAGAAGTGCAGGTGTCATTTTGACTGTACTTTTTTCCCAGGCGTGGTATTGCTGGGTCAAATGGGAGCTCAGTTTCTAATTTTTTGAGAATCGTTCATATTGTTTTCCAAAAGGGCTGAACCAGTTGGCATTCCCACCAGCAGTGAAGTAGAGTCCCTTTCTCATCACATCCATACCAACACTAGTTGCTTTTGTTCTTTTGGATGTTGGCCAGTCTCTGTGGTATGAGATGATATCTCATTACTGTTTTGATCCGCATCTCCCTAATGATTAGTGATGTAGAGCATTTTCTCATGTGCCTTTTTGCCATTTGGATTTCTTCTTTGAGAAAGTTTCTGTTCATTTCATCACCCCATTTTTTGATGGGGTTGGATGTTTTTTTCTTGTGGAGTTGAACCAGTGCTTTGTAAATCCTTTATATCAACCCCTTGTCGGATGGGTATTGGATAAATATCCTTTCCCGTTCTATAGACTGTCTTTGTATTTTGGTCACTGTTTCTTTTGAGGTGCAGAAGCTTCTTAGTTTAAGATAGCCCCATTTGTCTGTCTCTGTTTTCACTTGCTTGGCCAGTGGTGAGCCACACCTCTTTTACTGTAAATCCCAGACTAAGTGCTCAGGCCAGTTTAGTTTTCCTACCCCAAGGGGTCTCATGTTTTAGGACAGCTTGTCTCGACCATGCTTTATGCTTGCTTGACCATCCCATCAAAGTCAGGGTAACTTTGCTGCTTGCCCCGTGTCCATCGAGAGATTTGTCAGTGGGACCCAGCTTTTTAGGATGTCAGCAACTGACGCCTGAGTCAAGTAATTATGACGGATGCCCGGGAGTAGATATATTTAAGATTTAATTAACTCGCAAACATTAGGAGCATAGTCTTTTTTTTTTCAGGTAAAACACAATTTATTTATTATAAAAGAAATTACAACAATGAAAACTATTTGAGAGATATAGGGAATTTGAATATTTTGATTCCTAGAATTACTTAACAAAGGGTACGTGATTTCTCACTGCACGTGTCTTAAGTGCCTAGGAGCACAGTCTTAATGACATTTCTGTGTTTAAGTAAAGGTTGTTTTAGTAAAATATGTAAAATATAAAAAGGTTATAGGGGAAAGAAAAAAAAAGCAAATCATTCACTACAAATATAAAATCCAGAGTTAAAAAAAAAAATCCAGAGTCACCAGAAGGTTTGTGTTTATAAGTAACCAAGCCTGGCTTGGGGATATTAGTAGCTAACCTAAAGGAAAAGTCAAACATAAACTCAGGGGATTGGTGGTGCTTTTAAGAGCACTGTAAGCTTCTCTGAGGGGGAGGGGAAGGGCAATTCACTGCTGAAGCCTAAGGTACTTAGGGTTAATATCCAACAGGGAGGCAAATTCTTTTTAAGAAACAAGGGACAGTTTGATCCTGCCACGATATATAGTCTCCTGAGCCTGGCCAGGAGTTATCTCTGAGCACTGAGCCAGGAGTACACCCTGAGCATGCAGGTGTGACTCTTAACAAACAGAAATGAGCTAAGTCTTTTGACATATGTATAGAAAAGGTGGAACACACTAGATGTGGCTAAGTCAGGGCTGTACCTCCTTCTTACAGAACATAAAGTAACAAAATAGGAGACTAACACCCAAGAATGGCCAATATTAGTACCAGGAATATTATTCCATGGCTTGGAGGCCAGCCACACATGCTAGGAGAAAAGGGAGCTCATATATAGAAGGAAGCACCAAATAAAGGGTGTTGGGAGGATCCTCCCAGTATGGGAGAAGCATGCTGAAAGTAGACTATGGACCAAACATGATTGCCACTCAATGCCTCTTTTGCAAACCACAACACCCAAAAGGAGAGAGAGAACAGAGGGGAATGCCCTGCCACAGAGGCAGGGTGGGATGGGGAGGATGGGGGGTGGGAGGGATGCTGGGATTCGTGGTGGTGATAAATGGGCACTGGTGGAGGGATGGGTATTTGATCATTGTGTAATTGAATCCCAAGCACAAAATTTGTAAGTCTACAACTGTACCTCATGGTGTCTCACTAATAAAAAAATTTAAAAAAGAAGTTTTATCTCTGACAATTTCTCCGTGCCTTTTAGCCTTTTAGGTTTGAGGCTACACCCAACTATGTGCAGGACTTACTCCTGGCCAAGGATCCAGGGACCCTATGCAGTACTAGGGTTCAAACCCCAGTTGATTAAGTTCAAGCAAGCACCTTACCTGCTATAATCTCTCTCCAGCCCCGTGTGCCTTTTTACAAAACTAACTATTGGAAGCAGAAAGGATGGACTCTCCATTTCCACCAGAGCAAACAGTTTTTCAAGTCAAGCTCTGACTTGTCTTAGTCGAGGGGTGTCCGTGATCCCCAGATATCTGTGATCTTAAATATACTGCAGATCAAGTTCTGGCTACAGTTCAGGAAAGCATTCACCAACTAACTCATAGCTCTTCGATCCTCAGTGGCCCTTGACCGGAAGATGGTGACCCACACCGCCACGGCCCAGCCTAGAACCACGGGGCCCAGTGAAGATGCAAAGCAGACCTCCTTGTTGGAAACATCCCAGAGAGGCACAGTCCCGAACCAGCACCCTACGTCATCAGACATGGAGAGGAAGAATCATTCCATCTTCTGGGAACCAGGACCTCAAATTCGTCCTGTCACATCAGGTGAGAACTTTTTTTTTTTTTCATTTCAGAGGGGCACACCTGGCAGTGCTCAGGGGTTACTCCTGGCCATATGCTCAGGGATCACTCCTGGCAGACTTGGGGCACCGTATAGGGTTCCGGGGATTGAATCCTCACTGACTGCATTCAAGGCAAATACCTTCCCCAGTGGACTATTACTCCAGCCCCATGTCAGGTAAGAACTTGAGGCATGTTCTCCACCAAGAATCTCATGAACTAGAGCAAAACCTGACTCAGAAGTTATGGTTATAATGGAAGGCCTTCAGAGAAAGATATTTTCTTCAAAGTAAAAAAGAAAGAGCTGTGGGTGGGGTGAGGGTTAATGGGAGGGAAACTGGGAAACACAGGTGCTGGGAAGTGTACACTGGTGTAGAGATGGGTGTTGGAACACTGTATGACTGAAACCTAATCATGAACAGCTTTGTCAGGGTCTAGCTCACAGTGATTCAATTTAAAAAAAAAAAAAACACTAAAAATGGGGCTGGAGCGATAGCACAGCCGGTAGGGCATTTGCCTTGCATGTGGCCGACCCGGGTTTGAATCCCAGAATCCCATATGGTCCCCTGAGCACCACCAGGAGTAATCCTGAGTGCAGAGCCAGGAGTAACCCCTGAGCATCACCGGGTGTAACCCCCCCAAAAAAAAGGCACTAAAAAGAAGAAAAAACAGAACAAATAGCACCTGAAATTTGTGCTGGTCATTTATAGCAATACCTACTAAATATATTCATATGTATACATATTGGCTCTCCAGAGGTATCAATACCTGAAATTGTTAGTAAGTTATCATTCGCTCTATTTATTGTGTATGTGTGTCACCACCTTCAAAATCTAAAAAAAAAAGAAAAGAAAATCTTTCCCATACATGTGATAAAAAAGAAACACTAATGAATGGAGCAGCAAATGGTCAAACCTTCATCAGAACTGAAGGTTTTGTCCATAGAATGAAGCTTACATGGCTGGGGGTGAGTTTGAGGGGGGCTTCCTGGCACAGGAGTAGAGGGATGCAGGCTCCCTGGTACCAGGGGTGGTCTGGGAACAGTGTATGAATGAAAGTATAGTTGGCAGTATTGTAGGGATGGAGAGACAGAACAGCGGGTAGGGTGTTAGCCTTGCATGCGGCAGACTCGGGTTTGATCTTCCACATCCCATATGGTCCCCTGGTCCTTCGAGGAATGACCAGGCCCTGAGCACAGCCAAGTGTGTGATCATTGGCCAGCTATCATTGGCTTAGTAGTCCCATCTGTATCCTAACTGCCCTTGTGGCAGGCTTATGTATACATATTATGTGGCAGCCAATATGTAGCCATTCCAGCTAATGGCCCAGTCCTCTTGGCCCTCATTTCTGCTATCCTTGGGTAATAGCCTCCTACTGTGTATTTTATGTTCCTATCTTTATTTTTTCTTTTTGGGTCACACCCGGCGATGCTCAGGGGTTACTCCTGGCTCATGCACTCAGGAATCACTCCTGGCGGTGCTCGGGGGACCATATGGGGTGCTGGGAATCGAACCTGTGTCGGCCATGTTGGCTGCGTGCAAGGCAAACGCCCTACCCGCTGTGCTATCGCTCCAGCCCCTGTGTTCCTATCTTTTGGATAGATCTCCATTGCTTTTCAGAGAGGCTGACCAGAGTCATTCCTGCAGCAGTCGGTGAGAGTTTCTTTCTCATCACAACCCCTGCCAACACTATTTCCAAATGTTTGATATGTGCCCTGCTCACAGGCATGAGATGATACTTCAATGCTGTGTTGCTTTGCATTTCCCTACCTATGAGTCATACCTGTTGGCCATGGATATGGCTTCTTTGGGGATGCATCTGTTCATCTCCTTGCTTTTTTGTTGTTGTTGTTGAGGTTGTTGAATTTTTTTGTTGGGGAGTTTTATGAGTGCTTTATAAATCTTGGATACCAGACCTTTATTTGATATATGGTGTGTATATATTTTCTTCCCCAATAGTAGCGTGTTTTCGTTTGTTTCTTTTGTTTTTGGCCCACACCTGGCAATGCTCAGGCCTTACTCCTAGCTCTGTACTCAGGAATCACTCCTGGAAGTGCTCAGGGGACCATATGGGGTGCTGGGGATCAAATCCAGGTCGGCCGTGTGCAAAGCAAATGCCCTACCCACTGTGCTATCCCTCTAGCCAAGTAGCATGTCTTTGTTTTTATTAGAGCTTGAATTTCTTTTGACTGACAGTCCAGGGCACTTCTAGGGCCTGCTTGTATTTCTTCCTTGTTGATGCTGCCGCCTAATGGCAAACCAATTCCTGGTCCTTGGAGTTGGTGTCCAGTCGCTTTCCATGTGAGAGGAGTTTGTGACACTGGCTGGTAGTTGTCCAGCAGTCAGGGCAGCCCAGTGTTTCTGGCAGGAAGAATGTAGCGTGGGTAGAACTGAAGCCAGGAGGGAGGAATTCTTTTTTTTTTTCTTTTTTAATCTTATTGAATCACCATGAGATAGTTACAAGCTTTCATGTTTGGGTTACAATCACACAATGATCAAACACCCATCCCTCCACCAGTGCACATTCCCCACCACCAAATCCCCGGTATAACCCCCTTTCCCACCCTCCCTCTGCCTCCATGGCAGACAATATTCCCCATAATTTCCCCTCTACTTTTGGGCATTATGGTTTGCAATACAGACCCTGAGAGGTTATCATGTTTGGTCCTTTATCTACTTTTGAGGGAGGAATTCTTGCTGTGTGATATGAAGAGCAGACTTGGGATTTCACATCAGGGAAAGCAGAGCCGTGCTTAAACATGAGTGAGTTAGCAGAAACATGCCAAAGTCAAGTATTTGCTAATGAGTCTTGTAGAGAGTAAACGTCTCCAGAAGAAATTCTTTTTTTTTTTCCTTTTTGGAGTTATGTCTTCTTTTCTTCTTTCTTTTTATTTATTTATTTTAGAGAACCACAAAGCCATTCATGATTGGATTTCAGCCAGTGTTCCATCCCTCCACTAGTGTACATTTCCCAGTATCAGTGTCCCCAGGTTCCCTCCCATCACCCCCCATCTCTCACCAACCCCTCTCCCTTTCTTCCTCCCCCCCTTGGGCATTATGGTTTGCAATATTGATACTGAAAGGTTATCAAGAAAATAGCACAGCGCGTAGGGTATTTTCCTCTCATGCGGCCAACCTGGCCAACCCAGGTTCAATTCCTCCACCCCTCTCGGAGAGCCTGGCAAGCTACTGAGAGTATCTCGCCCGCACGGTAAAGCCTGGCAAGCTACCCATGACGTATTCGATATGCCAAACACAGTAACAAGTGTCACAATGGAGACCTTACTGGGTCCGCTCGAGCAAATTGATGAACCATGGAAAGACAGTGACAGTGACTTTTAACCCTCAGATCTTGTCCAGCGTGATCATTCCCAGCAATTACTGTCATACTGGTCTCTTCTCCATCTTACCTACCCTAACCCCCACTAACTTGTGGGGCTTACTTGTGGTTAGTTCCAACGACTGACCTGTCCTGCTAACCCCCTTTTCCCTAGCCATGAATATCCTTCTTCTATATATATTTTATATACCACAAATGAATGCAATCATTCTATATCTGTCCCTTTCCTTCTCATTTCACTCAGCATGATACTCTCCAAGTCCATCCATTTACAGGCAAATTTTATGACTTCATTTTGAGGAAGAAACTCTTTAATTCTCTTTAAATGACCTCCCGCATTGTGTTTAGCGTGCATTCTTCACATTCACAGAATGCTGAAACTAGATGCACTTAAGCATCTCCTGGCTCCCGGGCCCATTTAAATGAACATAGTAGAGGCCACAGTGAGAGTGAGTGGGAGTGCAACAAGCTGAGAGTATACTCATGCAGGAAGCCTGGGGTTGGCCCCTGTCACCCCAGAGTCCCCCTAGAGTCAGACACAAACATAGAGCTTGGAGTAACCCCCAAGCATTGGCAGAGATGGCCGGCCCAAAAATAAATCCAAAAAGTAATATATTAGCATATAAGCGAATACATCACAGGCTGGATTTGCTATTTTATGTGCAAATAATTATTTTATTTATTTTATTGTAATTACAGTCATGATTTTTTTTTAATGATTAAAGAAATAAAAGGGGCTGAAGTGATAATACAGCGGGTAGGCATTGGCCTTGCACGCGGCCGACCCAAGTTCAATTCCCAGCATCCCAGATGGTCCCCCGAGCACTGCCAGGAGTAATTCCTGAGTGCAGAGCCAGGAGTAACACCTGAGCGTCCCCGAGGGTGACTCAAAAAGAAAAAAACAACAAAAAAATCTGTGGGTCCCTAAAAGTAGCCCCACCACTGTTTTATTTTATTTTTTTAAGAAAAATCTTTCTTGATTTCTGCTCTGCTTTCTCCAATATGGAATCCAAGGTCTGCTCTTGCCCTTGGGGCTGAGTTCTTTCCTGCCTTCTCCAGCTGCGAGTTCCCGAAATGAACTGGTCCCTCATTCCGTCCCAGCCACACACTCTGCTCTATGGGATGGCTCACATTAGACCCCAGAGTGGCTGCCACTGCCCCATCCACAGGTGCTGGGACAGTTCAGGAGGGCAGGAGTTGTTCTGGTTGCAGTTGGATCTGTTTATTCACTTAAAGAAAGGGGTTTTTTTTGTTTGTTTGTTTTTGGGGTCACGCCCAGCGATGCACAGGGGTTACTCCTGGCTCTGCACTCAGGAGTTACTCTTGGCGGTGATTGTTGGGAGTTGAACCTGGGTCGGCCGCGTGCAAGGCAAATGCCCTACCCGCTGTGCTATCTCTCCAGCCCCAAGAAAGGAGTTTTAAAGGCTGGAGAGATAGTGCAGATGTTAAGGCACTTGCTCTACACTTGGCCTATCTGGGTTTGGTCCCCAGCACCATATAGGGACCCCCAACCCCTGCCAGGAGTGATCCCTGAGTGCAGAGCCAGGAGTCAGCCCTGACCACCACCGGATGTGGCCACAAAACCAAAAACCAATTGAAAAATAAATAAAAAGGTAGATTTCTGGAGGGACAGCGAATGATTTTTCTTTCTTGACTAGAAAATAGTTAAGTAATAAGTTTGGGAACCTCTATGGAATTTTAGTATCAAACACAAGTCCTTTAAGTCCTTTAAGGTCAAATATGGTCCTTTAAGCCTATCCTTAAAAAGCAAAAAGCGCTCGATTTTCCACCCATTTCTGATGCACCTTCAACATATGTTCCGTTTGTTTCCCACAGAGAGTGCTTCCTCGGGGAAGGACATATCAGAGGAAAATTATATTTTCGAATCTAAGAGTGATCGTGGAGGAAGGGAACACCCCGCTCCAGAAGCAGGTAAGACATATGTGAGAGGCTCGCTGGACAGTTTAAACGTTTGCAGGACCCTGAGTCTTCCAGGCAAGGCCACCAGAAGAGCTGAGGAGAACAGTGAGTGATCTGAGGGCGAACAGAAGGCACCTGTCTCCTGCCCGGGCTCCACCCCTGGCTCCTGAACTAGATTCTTCAGATCTCAACCAATGCTTATCTGGTGGACTGGATGAGGCACAATAAATAAAAATAAATAAATAAAAAGGTAGATTTCCAGAGGGACAGTGAATGATTTTTCACTCACTGAAAATAACGGCCCCAGCTCAGCTGAAGGTTGTGAGGATGAGGAAAGCTGAGGCCCTTCCGCTTACTCTCTCTGGTGACCAGCAGGAAGTTCAGCATCAGGCACGGGGTTGTCCATGCAGCACAAGTAAAGGAAAGACAACGTATCACACCAGCTCTGTGGAGACTTGATGCTCACGTTCCACCAGCTGGCAGAACTTCCGTAGCAAAGTTTTTTTTTTAATTGTTTTTTGTTTTTATGGGTTTTCTTTTTGTTGTTGTTTCTTTTTGGGTCACACCTGGCCTTGCACAGGGGTTACTCCTGGATCATGCAATCAGAAATTACTCAGGGGACCATATGGGATGCTAGAATCGAACCCAGGTCGGCCGCGTGCAAGGCAAATGCCCTACCCGCTGTGCTATCGCTCCAGCCACCACCCCCCCACCCCCGTGGCTAAGTTTTACCCCAACTCCAGGCCTGGCCTGGCTAGTGAAATCAAGGGCCAGAGAAACGGACTGCATACCTGAGCACCACCAGGAGTGGTCCTCAAACACTGAGCTAGGGGAACTGAGTGGTGTGGTCCTCAAGCAAACAAAAATAGCATCGATCAAATCAAGACTAAAACCTGTGAGTTGCTGAGGAAGACCAAGCCAGGGCACTCCCTGTCACTTCCTACACAACTCTAACGCCTGTTTCTGATTGTCTAGGAAAAGCCCTCAGTTGCCTCTGCAGGACAAGAGATTTACCCCTCAACTACCCATTCCCCAAATCACATTCATCAGCATTTTTTGTTTCGCATTTTGGGCCAAGTCCGGCAGTGCTCAGGGGCTACTCCCAAGGTCACTCACCATGGGGGTGCTAGGGGGACCCTACAATACAGGGGACTGAACGAGGGTCTCCTGCCTGCAAAGCATGTGCTCAGGCTGTTGAGTTGTCAGACCGACCAAAGGCATATTTTGAAGTTGCCTTTCAGAGATCGATAGTTTTGCTGGATGAGTAGTTACCTGGATTTAGAAAAAATATTTTTCTAAAATTATGTTTCCAAAAAAAATTTTTGGTGGGGGGGGAACACCCAGTAGTGCTCAGGACTTACTCCTTACTCCTGAACACTAGTAGTACATTCAGGGATCACTCTTGGCTGGGCTAAGGGGGCCATTCATGGTGCCAAAGATGGAACCCAGCTTGGCCGACAGTACTATGGCTCCAGCCTAAGAAATAAATTTATTTTTTTTTTTAATGTTTTTACTTTGCTTTTTGTTTTTTATTTTTTTGCTCTTCGGGTTATACCCAGCAATGCCAGGGGTTACTCCTGGCTCATGCACTCAGGAATTACTTCTGGCAGTGCTGGGGGGACCATAAGGGATGCTGAAAATGAAACCTGGGCTTGGCACGTGCAATGCAAACGCCCTACCTACTGTGCTATCGCTCCAGCCCCAGAAATAAATTTCTTAAAGCTTTAACCAGAACAAGAAATTGGGGGTTAGTCTCTATTTTGTTCTTGAGCCACACTTGGCAGTACTCAGGGATCAGTCTCAGTGGTGCCCAGGGAACCAGGCCATGCCAGGGATCAAACACAGGCTTCCTACTTTCAGCCTCTTCCAACTCTCTCTGGTCCGATCCACATCTTTTTTTTTTTTTTTTTGGTTAAGGGGGATAACGATAACGCACGCCAGCAGTGCTCAGTACTCTTTGCTCTGTGCACAGGGTCACTCCTGGCAGGGCTCGGGTCCTTATGCGGTGCCAGGGATTGAACCTGGATCAGTTGCATGCATGCAGGGCAAGCCCCTTAGCCTTTGTGCTATTGCTCTGACCTGTCCACTCTGGTTTTAAGAAGAGAACGATCATGTGTGGATCCAGAAATCTAATCTACGACTACAATGACAGTTCCCTATGATCGCTTTATTTTATTTTTTGCTTTTTGGGTCACATTCAGCGATGCACAGGGGTTACTCCTGGCTCATGCACTCAGGAATTACTCCTGGAGGTGCTGGGGGACCATATGGGACACTGAGCATCGAACCCGGCTCAGCTGTGTAAAGGCAAATGCCCTACCCGCTGTGCTATCGTTCCAGCCCCACCTACGGTCGCTTTAGAGAATGTTATCCCTGGATGTACAGGTGATCCACCTTTGCCTCCCTATTGCTTTACGGATTCTGCAGGAATGTGGTACAGAGCTGTTCCAAAGGAGTCTGTCTTTGACAAGCCATGTGCTCTGAGCTCAATTAATCCCTGGACCTCAGCTGATCTGCAAAACAGTGGCAATACAAGTCCCTCCTGGGGAGACAGTACCTGATTTCACAGCCATGCCAAGTGCTTCTCGGTCACCATAGCTCGTTGGTCACTGACCTATATTTCTCACCTTCCACAGGCGCTGTGCTTCCGCTGGCCTTGGGTTTGGCGATCACTGCTTTGCTGCTTCTCCTGGTTGCTTGCCGCCTCCGACTGGTCAAACAGAAACTTAAAAAAGCTCGGCCCATTACATCTGAGGAATCTGACTACCTCATCAATGGGATGTATCTCTGAGTTTCATTTACATAGCTGGGGGGACCAGGGCAGTTGTCGCTTATAATTTATACAGACATCGGGATCTAGACCATTAGACCTAGTGATTTTTAGTGATTTTTAACTGGGCTAAGGGAAACCATTTAAAACCCCCCAAGGTTCTGCAAACCTCGAATCTTTGTTTTTAATTTACTGTAGATTTTTCCTTGGAAAGTAAATGAAATATTTTGAGATTGTAGAAGTCTGATTAAAGAGAGTTATAATTCTGGTCTATGTACGCTGTCCTTGAGGAGATATTTCTTTTTTTTTTCCTATTAGTGAGACACCATGAGGTACAGTTGTAGACTTATAATTTTTTGTGCTTGGGTTTCAGTTACAGAATGATCAAATACCCATCCCTCCACCAGTGCCCATTTCGCACCACCACGGATCCCAGTATCCCTCCCACCCCCCATGTCCCCCATCCCACCCCGCCTCTGTGGCAGGGCACTCCCTTTTGTTCTCTCTCTCCTTTTGCGTGTTGTGGTTTGCAAAAGAGGCAATGAGTGGCAATCATGTTTGGTCTATAGTCTACTTTCAGCATGCTTCTCCCATCCTGGGAGGATCCTCCCAGCACCCTTTATTTGGTGCTCCCTTCTGGAGATATATTTCTAATTAGCTGTATCACTGTCATCCCGTTGTTCATTGATTTACTCGAGCGGGTGCCAGTAACATCTCCATCCGTCCCAGCCCTGAGATTTTAGCAGCCTCTCCTTACTCGTCTTTCCCAACGATTGGAAGCTCTTTCAGGGCCAGGGGAATGAGATCTGTTGTTGTTACTGGTTTTGGCATATCGAATATGCCAGGCTCTGCCGTTTCTAATTAGCTAAACAAAAAAATTCAGCATCTCAAGAGGAAAGGAAGCCTTAGACTAGCCATGTCGGTAAACCCTTCATGCGTTAGCAGCCACCCACTGACAACCCTGGTTTTCTGTGTAGTGCAGCCCCCTCCCCCATCTCGGCCCATGGCCCACCTATTCCACGCTTTAAGGTTCCTCTCTCCGCCCTTCACTGCCCCTTCAAAACTCACTGCTGGGGCCGGAGCAATAGCACAGTGGAGAGGGCATTTGCCTTGCACGCAGCCAAACTGGGTTCGATCCCTGGCATCCCATATGGTCCCCTGAGCACCGCCAGGAGTAACTCCTGAGTGCAGAGCCAGGAGTAACCCCTGAGCATTGCCAGGTGTGACCCAAAAAGCCAAAAACAAGACAAAACAAACAAACAAAAAAAAACCCTCACTGCTGAGAATAGATCCCATGAATTTATGCCATTAATGAGAGGTCACCCACGACGGGAATATTTAAATTCTACCCCTACGAACAGGTGGTCATTGAGGCCTCTGAGTTTCTTGCCAGTTCCCAACATCACGTCAGCTACTGGCTGGCTCATGATGCTGACTTCTGGGAGAAAAGATCATCCTCAGGCCTGAAAGTAGCTGGCTGACACACGGTCATGAAGTGACACAGGAAACCCAGAGGGCAGCAAAGGGCCTGGAAGAGCGAACAACAGAATCCCAGCTAAGGAACAAATAAGGAAAAAGGACTGGTTCCTCCCCCCTCCCCACCCCCTCACCCCCAGGATCTAACTGCTTGGCTTTTTCCAACAGTAGTTTGTGTTGGAAGAGAAAAATGTATTCTGGAGGAGAGGCAGACGACGGGAATGGGTTTCTGGCAAAGGCTTTTGTGAAAATGTCACATGTTTAACATCAGCAGGTCCTTTCAATCAATGGAATGAGCCCCTTGTCCTCATTTATCTCCTGCTACAAAATGTTACATGCAGCCCCAGAGGGACAGGACAGCAGGTAGGGAGCTTGCCTTCCATGTGGGTAACCAGGGTTTGATCCTTGGGTTTGGGGGACCCACCGGGAGTGATCCCTGAGCAAAGAGCCAGGAGAAAAAAGCCTTGAGCACTGTCAGGTGTGAGCCCCAACCTTCCCCTCACCGCCCAAAAAATATATGTGCAAAACAGCTAATGCCAGTCGTGTGTGTTGTAGGAATATTTGTGCAGCTTTGAACAAATTCATCTTGACAGAAAACTGGCATCTAATTTGATAGACTTCACTTCCCCCCCATCCCCCCCAGCTTTTTGGGTCACATCGGGAGATATGCTCCGGGGATCAGATGGGACGCTGGGGATGGAACCTGGGTCAGCCACGTGCGAGGCAAAAGCCCTACCCATTGTACTATTATCACTCTCTTCACTTTTAATCGGAACGATTTTATAGGTAAATTCTCATTCTTCTTTAGTGCCAAAATTACACATATTCTAGAAATTCTACTTAGAATATAGTGCAGTGTTCAGTAACACTGTATAACATTCCTGTTCAGAATGGCACATCTTTTAAAATACTTGTAAGGGCTGGAGCGATAGCACACTGAGTAGGGCATTTGCCTTGCATACAGCCGGCCCAGGTTCAATTCCCAGCATCCCATATGGTTCCCCGATCACTGCCAGGAGTAATTCCTGTGTGCAGGGCCAGGAGTAACCCCTGTGCATTGCCGGGTGTGACCCATAAAGAAAAAAAAAAATACTTGCAAGCAATTGAGAGCACTCTGTTTTCAGAGTGAGCTGGAGGAAGATGGTTCCTTTAAACAAAGGCTTGCTTTGAGGGCCAGATAGTACAACGGGTAGGGCGCTGGCCTTGCACACGGCCAATCTGGGTTTAATCCCTGGTACCTTATGTGGACCCCTGAGCAGTGCCATGCCAGAAATAATACCTGAGCACCGCCAGGCATGACCCCAAAACCAAACAAAAACCAAAAGCTTAGTTTGAGCTACAGATAGAATACACTCAACAATAGGAAGTTAGCGCTAGAAAAACAAAGAAATTGGTTATTTTTATTTCCTGAGAGTCATTTTGTAGACTGTCCAGAGAATTAAGCAAAGACTTAAATTTCTTAGAGAAATGACTGAAGTTAAGGGGTTTATACTCAATATGTGATGCCATGCGGTTTGTTTTAGAATTTAGTAAAGGATGTTGCCTATCACCATTCCCGATAATCTAAAAACAAATGAGACCTGCATTTTCCCACACGTCTTTTATACGTGAAATTAAACATGATTTAGTATTGCTGTGGTGTTCAAATACTTGAGAAAAGATGTTCCTTACTATGTGCACCATATTCCTTTAATAAAGTATTTTCTTCATAAGCCAGTTTATGGCTTTTTAATGTAAGTTGCTAATATTTATAGTTATTACCTGATTTAACAAGCCAACCCTGTTTTTAAAAGGGGATAATATAGAATCAGAGAATAAAGGTCTAAAAAGTATTTACGGACTGCTATAAAAAACTTGGGGGGAGGGAGGGGGTTCACACCCAGTAGTGCTCAGGGGTTTCTCCTGGCAGACTCAGGGGACCATATGGGATGTCAGGAATCGAACCCAGGTTGGACACATGCAAGGTAAATGCCCTAACCACTGTGCTATGGCTGCGGCCCCAGGATAGAACTTTTTTAATTCGGCATCTGGCCCAGGATATTGGCTGAAGGAGTTCTGTACCCAAGATTGTTTAAAAACATTTTGAAAGGGAAAGTTGGGAGTATTTACTTCTCTAATATATGTTTCACATCTTTTCCTTAAAAAGGGCATGCTGAAATCATTTCGAAAAGTCCTCCTTTAATCCTCAACAGAGCGACTCCTCCATCCTTCCACCAGCATTTTAATATTTCAAGTTGAATATTAAATGTTGTCTCCCACCAGTAAAGTAACTTTGTCCCATGGGATCTTTCTCCCACTGATGTCTCCAAATCTGTGATCGGGTTCTCCAGTTCCTTTCTGCATGTCCTAATGCCGTCCCATCACTGACAGCCATGTGTGTTGCTCTATCTCCTGTGAACCCAACACGGATGTGTATTTCTAGTCCCAGATCCTGAGGGATGAGTTAACTGGACTTTACCTGTACACGTGTGCCGCAGGCGTCCCAAACGCAGACCTTCACTTGCTCAACATCATGCTGCTAAGTACATAAGCACTTAACACTGTCATTCGGGCTCACGGTTAAATCACACTGTTCCCAACTATTTCATCATCTGTTTTACTCTTTGGTGGGATCATACCACTGTGTTCCTAGCAGAATTACTTCTCTTATTGGTATTCTTTTGCGTTAAAACTTAATGAGAAGTTTCTTTGGTTTGGTTTGGTTTTGGTTTTAGGGCCACACCCGACAGTACTGAGACTACGCCTGGCTCTGCACTCAGGAATCACTCCCGGTGGTGCTCAGGGCAACCCTCTGGGATGCTGGGAATCACACCCAAATTGGCCGTGTGCAAGGCAAGCGCCCTACCTGCTATACTCCTCTCTGGTTCCAAAACTTAATGGGAAGTTCTAATTAAAAGCTGCACACAGAGTCTTCACAAGAGGGAAAAACTTTATTTGCAGCCCGACAGTCAAAAATATTCTCATCTCTTTGTGTTGTGTGGCAGGGAAAGGTAGCAGGGATGGGTCATGCACAGGGCTTACTCAGGGATCACTCCTGGCAGTGCTCAGGGGACCATATGCCTTGTTGAGGACTGGCCACATACAATAAAAATTAATTCGTAGACTATCTATTCCCCAAGTCTTCGGTCTTTCTCTATACTCGTCCTGTTTCCCCAGATCTCTAACTTATTCAGTATTCCAGTATTCTACAAGTATGAGAAAGTATGTATCTCAAGTTAAAGCTATCTAAATGGCAAACAACGATAAATTTATTGGCTAATTATGAAAATACTGAGCATGAAAATAAAATTAGACACCCCAAAGCTGAATAACATTCAGGAACAGACTGGTTAAAAGAGAACCTTCTCAGGACCAGAGCCAGAGTACTGCAGGTAGGACACTTGCCTTGCACACATCAGAACCAGGCTGGATCCCTGGTACCCCATAATGTCCTGAGCCACTCCTTCAGGCTTGACCTGTAAACCGTCTGCTCTTCTTTATCCTACAACTTCACTGCTCAGTGGAGCCAAGATGCAGAAGGGCTGGTTTGTTTTCCTGAGAAAATCATCTTGTGGAGCCAGTGTGATAATTCTTGTCGGAGGCATGGTAAGGCACATGCCATCCATAGAACCGACAAGGCACTCATATGATCACACAGAGCCAGGAGTCAGTCCTGAGGACCGCTGGGTATGGCCCAAAAACAAAAGGAAAAAAGGAAAAAAGGAGGTAGACTTCCAAAGGGGCTCGAGTCACTCTTCTGAAAAAGGGGGCGGTCGGTTAAGTAAAGCCAAGACCTCTGCTCTACAACTTCGATTCCTTCAAGTCCTAGAATTCTTAGGCAAGAGCCTATTGTAAAATGTATAGCACGACAATAGTGCCACCAGACGCCTTCCAATAAAGTCACCTTTGGGCATTGTATTGATGAACCTAGTGACACGTGAGACAGGTTTTCATAAACTTCTTCTCGGCCCTGTTCTTTCCTGACATTTAACTCCCTGGTTCAACCAATGGGCACATACTGGACGCCTTCAAGAGGAAAGACGGGACGGGAGCTCAACAGGAAATGAGGACCAGGGTGAATGCCTCCATCCTCACAAACCTGGGGCCAGAGACGCTTAACAGGCTGGTGCATGTTCCCCCTTCAGGAGGCCGCGTGGGCCCCTGCACTGAACCAGGAGGAGCCCCCAAGCACAGGGGGTGACACCCCCCACCCACCAAGGAAGCAATCACATTTTACAACTACACAATATATTAGCGATGAATCAACTCATCAGACTAACTGTTGGAGTGTCACGGAGCTATGCCCAGGGGCGACTCCTGGCTCGGTGCTCAGGGGTCACTCCTGGTGGTTTGTGGAAAAATGCCGTGCTGGGACTGGACCCCAGGTCCTCGTACACAAACTGTGCGTGCCAGTCCCCTGAGCTATCTGTGGCCCCTGAGCGAGTATCTGACGTGCACTCAGGAGGCCCAGAGCCCGGGGTCCCTCTTGGCAATCCTGGACCAAACTGGCCAGCAGTTTGATGCAAAGCTCAGCTCCCACAACTGCCTGGCGCTGTTCAGGCCCCTCGAGGGATGTACCTGCATATGAGGGATCGTGTGGTCCCGGAGAATGGAGCCGGGACTGCCCCCATGGAAGGGAGCTCCTTCGGCCTGTATCATCTTCCTCCTCTCCGCCCTCGGCATTCTGTATGTGGTGGCCATTCTCCATTCAAACACCAAAAATGCCTCTTTATCTTTTAACTTTATTTGGCAAAGCAGCACTGCATAAACTGTTCAGGAACTAGGACACAGCTTACACAGCATGTTAAAAGTCATGTACAGAATCAGCAGCAAATTGGAGAACAGGAGCGGAAAAAAAAAATAATACTGAGCTACCGGTGTCTATAATTTTTAAACAGAGGAAGGGAAAACCGTGACAGTTCTGTCCCTTTGAACAGCAGAGTGTTTCAAGGGACATCACCTGTCATCTAAAGATTTAATATTTACAAACGCTTAGTTTGAGGGTAACAAAGAGGCTGATTGTATCTACAACATGCTAGTCTATCTAATACCACATCAAAAGCTTTAAAAAGAAAGCTCATCTCTATTTTCTTAGTAGCATCTAGAGACATCCACATCCAAGAAATCTGAACTTGTGAATAGTGGTGTTAGGGGGTGCACGAACGCAATCTGATTAAGTTCACGCCCGAACAATTAAGTGCCTAAGAAAAAGCCGCGCCTCAAAATCAATTCACAAGCCCGTGTCTCCATTTTTGCAGAACCCCTTCTCTGAACATTTGAAAGTAAAATGTGGGCGTGTTAAAGAATACACAAATCTAAATCTTTGCCTCTTTCTACCAAGGTGGCTTCCGTGCCTCTTTGAAGAATTGGAAACTCTACAAAACCACACATTTTCATGCTGAAAATAACAGTGTAACGAAAAGTCCAAAACAAGCTGTGATGCTGTTGGTTTTCGAAAAGCTCTGAGGACTGAGATGAACAATCCACTGTAATATTAGATACTGGTCAAGCTGATGTTGCTTTTACAGTTCGTCCCTGGGGGAGGGAAGAGAGAGAAATACATAAGCAGGAGTTAGAGAACTACAACACTTGGCTTTCTAACAGTTTTAGATCTCAAGATTCCTTCACTCAAAATAGGCTGATTCCCCAAGCACTGGGAAAAAAAAAAAAAAAGCAAACCTTCCCAAGTCAAAGCCAAAATGGAAACCAGCCGTTTCCTCTTTCACCTCGGTGCAGAGCTATGAAGCTGAAGGGCCTGAGTTCTTTACGGTTTCGTTGTGAAGAAAGCTCTCTTCCTTCATGGCTAAAGACTTTATAACCTCTCCAATCTAGGATCTTGTTAAACTGTGCATGGTAAAAATGACAACCTGAACATGTAGAACTGAAATCATTTATAGTCACATTTATAAAAATTGGACCAAAAAAAATAAAGCCCAAAACAACCTTCTCCCTTTTGCTCAGAGTGTGCTGAGCTTTTTGTGGAGAATACTGCATCATCTATGACTTCACAGGGGAGCTTTGTCAACTCCAAAATAAACCATCATGAGCACTGTGCCAGTGAAAGGAAGGAACAAAACTACAATCCAAAGGAAATGGTCGGTATATAAATTATACCTTAGTGATGCTGTTAAAAAATGGGGCTGGGAGTGGCCAGAGCAACGGAGCCATGGTTAAGGCACTGGCCTTGCTTTCAACCAACCCGAGTTCCATCTCCACACTCCATAGGACCCCCAGTCAGCACCGCCAGGAGCGATCTCTGAGCACCGAGCCGGATATGGCTGAGGGAGGAGAGTTGGCTAAAATAACAAAAACCAACCAAACAAAACAAAACCCTAAAATCTCTAGTGGTAATATTCTGAGTGACGAAAAAATTATATTCAACACTCAAGCTCTTTAAGGGTTTTAAAAAAAGTTTTGTGTGCAACTTAAATGAGTCAGGAAAAAATATTCTGTATATAGATGCTTAGATATCTTAAAAGAGAGTGAGGGGACTGGGAAGGGATTTCCAAGGGCTGAGTGCATGCGTCGCACACCAGAGACTCATTTTCAATTCCTGATATTGAGTGGTCCCTGTAGCACTACTAGGACTGACCCCCGAGCAGAGAGATCCTGAGCAATGCCAGGTGTGGAATCCCCACCGGAAAGAGGGAATGGGAAGGTCAATGTAGAAAAATGTTAACAACTGGTCACTCCAGTGGAAGAGGCTCAGAAACCTTGTGTACCATTTTTTGTAACTGGTTCGTAATAAGATCAAGTTATTTAAGAGACTGTTAAATAATTTTGCTGAATAGATATCTATTTGCAGGATAGATAAAGGAACTAAAATGTCCTGGTTAATTGTACATTAAGAGATTTGCCAGATGAGGGTGGAGCACACGGGTAGGGCATTTGCCTTGCACGTGGCCGACCCAGGTTCGATCCCCGGCATCCCATATGATCCCCCAGCACCGCCAGGAGTAATTCCTGAGTGAAGAGTGAGGAGTAACCCCCTGAGCATCACTGGGTATGACCCAAAAAGAAAAAAATATTTATATTTTCAGGATGAACTGCTTTTATCATACAAACTGAATTTTGTATGTGTAAAAAAAAGTTGTTAGATTTTTGGTTGTGGTTTGGGGGCCACACCTGGCTGTGCTCAAAGTTTTCTCCTGGCTCTGAGCTCAAAGATCACTTCTGGCATGGCTCAGGGGACCACATGGGGCACTGAGTTTCAAACTTGGGTTCGGTGGTATGCAAGGTAAGGACCTTACCTGCTGTACTAGATCTCCAAGAAAGTGTTTTTAAAATAACACTCCCGCACTGCCCATAGTACAATACTGTATTATCTGTTAAAGCATTAGCTTATTCCTCTTCAGTATATTTTTCCAAATAACAGGACTATAACTCTCAAAGAGTTTTGTTTTTGTTTTTGTGGTTCTAGAGATTAAATCCAGGCCTAACACATGCAAGGCAAATGCTCTGTCACTGAGCTACATCCCAGCCAGTCTTACAGAACAACTTCTATTTTAAATCATGAAAGCATTAAAATATTTCACCTGCAAAGGGTTTGCCTGCAAGTGTTCCGATCATAAATTCAATTCTCCTGTGCTTTTGAAAATCAACTGAAGATACAACTGGATTTTTATATATTAACCACATTCACCTGTTCCTAGGCATTACAGATATCGTAAGCAAAACTTAATGCCCCATCGACAGTATATATAAATATGTATAATATCCTCTCCATTAAAAAAAAGAAAAACTTTTTAAAGAAAAAATTAAGAACTCTCAATAAACTGGTGATAGGGGAACATACCTCAACATAATAAAGGCCATAAACAAGCCCCAGCTAACATCACACTCAACGGTGAAAAGCTGAAAGCTTTTCCTGTAAGAGCAGGAGCATCGGAGGGATACTCATATACGTCAGTTGTATTCAACATAGTACTTGAAGTCCTAGCCAAAATAATTAGGCAAGATAAAAAAAAGATGAAAGGCATCAAAATCGGAAAGGAAGGAATAAAACTCTTTTTTGCAGATAACATTATATATATATTTTAAAAAAAACCTCAAAAGACCAGCAAAAAACTTAGAACTAGCAAATTCAGTAAAGTTGTGAAATACAGTCAATACACAAAAACCTATTTTGTTTCTATACACTAATGATAAACTATTAGATAAAAACTTTAAGACCCATTTAGAATTTCATAAAAAATGCCTAAAAATAAATATGACCAAGGAGGAATAAGATCGGTATACCAGAAAACTTAAGCTACTGATAAAAGAAATTGAAGAAATTAACAACTTGAAAACTTTTATGTGATCACAGATCAGAACTAATATTGTTAAAATAGCCATATTACCCAAAGTAATTTACTAACTGAATGCAACCTTATCAAAATTCCAAAGGTGTTTTTAACAAAACTGGAGCAAACCAAAAATGTACATAGAACTGCAAAGGAACTTGGGAGAAAAAGAAAGCTAGAGGCATCACATACTTCCTGATAGCAAACTGCAGTGACCAGAATAGCAAGGTATTATCATAAAAACAAACGTGCAGGCCAATGGAACAGAACAGAGTACCCAGAAACTCACTCACATGCACATGCCGATCAATTAAGGAGCCAGGAAAATGTAATAGGGAAAGGGCGTTCAGTAAGTGACATTCAGAAAACTGGTCAATCATATACAAAAGAATGAATGAAACTTGGGCCCAGAGAGACAGCAGGTAGGGCCTTGCATATGGCCTACGCTGGCTGTCAGGAATAATGCTGTTAAAAACATAGACAGACAGACAGACAGACAGACACACAGACACACACACACACACACACACACACACACACACACACACACACTGTACCACACTTAAAAGGGAAAGAAGTTTATAAGCCAGGGAGATGGCTCAAAGGGCTGAAAGCATATATTTTGTATGTGGGACCTCCAGGTTTGAAAATCACTGACAGTATGGTCCCCAGAGCACTACTAGGGATGGCCAAGAGTTAAAGAAAAAAGAGAACAGGGGCCAGACAGACACGTCAAGTAAGACGCTTGTATACTGCTCACCCAGGTCCAATTCCCAGTACCCCATCAGATCCCTGATAATCGCCAAACGTGATCACTGAGTACAGAGCCAGGGGTAAGCCCTGAGCACAGTCAGGTATACCCCACTCTCCCTAACACCCCCCCCCCCAAAAAAAAGTATATGGTACACAGGGACAATCCAAAGATCCTCTGGATGGTGGGTGTTCTGTATGTGAGAGGCGTGGGTCCAATTCCTGGCACCACATGGTACCCTGAACCCTGAGAACTGGGCCGGACTCAAACCTTCACCCCACAACAGTAAGTTTACAGAGCTGAATACCAACACTCATCATGCAGAGTAAGCAAGTTTACTACCTGTGCATGAATAACCTTGTAACAGCCTAATACTCAAAATCGTATCACTTTCTAGTTAGTTATCTCCTATTGTCTTAAATTCTATGTAATTATACCTTTCTTATATCAATTTATGCAGATTATTTTATTCTATGTAACTTTACCTTTCTTTATATCAATTTATGCAGATTATTTACAATTAAAAATAGTCCTGAATTTCTAGCTTTTTTTGTTTGTTTGTTTTTTTGCTTTTCAGGTCACACCTGGCGATGCACAGGGGTCACTCCTGGCTCTTGCACTCAGTAATCACTCCTGGCAGTGCTCAGGGGACCACATGGGATGCTGGGAATCGAACTCGGGTCGGCCGCGTGCAAGGCAAATGCCCTACCCACTGTGCTATCTCTCCAGCCTCATCTAGCTAAGTTTTTTAAAATGTCAATTTATAACTAGAGACATTCACTAGAGTAATAACTGTACATATTATTTTAGTATATAAAAAGAAATAACAGGAAAACAACAATTGTCAGGATCAACTGGGCACCCTATGACCTACATTGTCAACTGAAGAAATGTCCAAGGGGCTGAGTGCTAGTATAGCAGGTAGGGCACTTGCCTTGCACTCGGTCAAACCGGGTTCGATTCCTGTCATCCCACACAGTCCCAAGTCCCAGCCAGAACACTCAATCCCTAAAGACAGAGCCAGGAGGAAACCCCGACCACAGCTGGGTATGATCCAAACATGCAAACAGTACTGAGGGGGTGCCTTGGATTGGACCCAGGGCCTCACATAGGCCAGGCAAGGGCTCTGCCATTCAACTACATCCACCGTCCTCAACTTTTTTCAAAGAAATGTGCTCCAGGTTTGATGTCAAAGAAAACAATTATAACCACATTAGAAAAATAAAAATGCAATGCCTAAGAAGATATACAAGAAACGAACAATCTGAATTTATTTAAAAGTAAAACTTTTTTGAACAAATAGTTAAATTCGCCCCCATTTTTACAAACATCCATCCTAAAGGTGTCTTTCCTCTTTCCAAAAAAAAAAAAAAACCCACACAACTGAGGTTGATTAAACTCACAAACACTATTTTACTTATAACAAAGTAATTTTTATATAAGTCAGTACCTTAGTCAAATAAATTCTAAAACAAGGACATAGTAAAGTCTATCTTATTTTCACATTTAATTCCAAGGAATCTTGGCTAATGTACTCATATTTATTGCTCTCACTCTTCCCTCTAGAGGGACTAGGCTGGGGCAGGGAGCATCGGAAGGGGGGAGATCTTGGCTTCCAACGAAACGTTCCAATATTACGCTGAAACATCATCAAAGAACAGGCGCGTTCACAGATGAGCCATGCTTTGCTGGGGACTGCTGCATGCTGGCCCTTGGGGGGTTTGTGAGACCTGGGCACTCAGCAGGGAGCTACGGAACCCTCTGCCTCCCCAAAAACTTAGCTAACGTACCTTAAAACTTAGGGGGGCCAGGGAGAGGCTCCAAACACTAGAGGACGTACTTAAAACATCAGGAACCAGGTCCATTCCCCGCATACGGGGGACCTCCGAGCACCATTAGGGGGTACAGCCCACTATGACCCCCCCCAAAAAAAAAACCTTGAAAAAAAAAAAACAGAATAGATGATTCCTTCTAAAACAACAGCTGGATGTCCAACAGGCTCGGGTTACACATCTCTGAACTGGACTGGGAGGAAGTGTCTTCGTGGGAATTCTGACACCTTCAAAACCTAGGTCCAGAGGATCTTTCCCTTTCTTGGGGCTGGAGAGAATGCACACAGGCAGGACACATGCCCAGCATGCAGCCAACCTGAGTCTGATCCCCAGCAAGGCCATACGGTCCCCTGAGCATCGCGGGCTGTGGCCCGAGAACAAAAAAAATAAATAAATAAAAAGAGTATCACTGTTCCCTCTCTTCCTTAACAGCCCAGTGGAGAATGAGGGTCAGGAAAGGGTCTTCCTTTCAGACCAAAGCCGTTGTTCCCAGGGCCATACAGCAGCTAGAAAACTGATTTTTTAACGACAGAAAGTGGCTCATATTACAATGTCCTTAAGGCAGCACTAAACTGGCCGAAACTACCTTAAACCAAGAACAAGTGTGCCAAGTCTCACTCCCCGTCCCCAAAGACACGAGTTAAACCAAAAGAAGGGCAGACCATGCAAACTTCTTCTGCATTTTTAATGTAGTCGGTTTCTGATGTTAAATGGAGTGGCGTGAAGGTGACAACCGAAAGCGCAGCTCTCGCAGTGCAATGCCTTAAAATCCACACCCTTTCACCTTGCGCGTGTGGAGGAAGAAAGAGCAGAAGGTAAAATCACTTCCACCTGGACCACTGCTTCTCTTTGTCTGTTAAAGGCACGTATATCACTCCCATCAGCGGTTTCATTTTGACGCTGCCATCTTGGAACTTGTCATACTGCTCCAACATTTGGTTGCCACCTGCCGGGCCCACGGGCAGTATCAATCTTCCACCAGGCTTTAATTGGTCTATCAGCTAAAAGAGAAAAGAGAAATACATGCACATCGAAGTAGCAGGTTTCATGTCAAGAGTTATTTCCATCACGCGAAACAACTTCCAAGTGCCCACGGGCAGAAGCAGAAGTGTATTTAGTGCAAGCGTACTTTGTTGAACGTACCACTTCATTACCCACCCGTCACTTCCCTATCAATGTCCCCGATTAACCGTGAGGGTCAGCGTCCTATCTGTCCGTCACTGGGCGCCTAGCATCTGATGGAGAACCTGGCCTGTCGGCAGGGCGCGCTGATCGCCTTGCACAGAGCTATCCCCCGGGAGAAGCCAAAAGCAAAGCAGAAAATTCCTGCCTGCCCACGCCTTTATTTCAAGCTCCGGGGGTGTAAGAGGAAGAGGAGGCAGAGGAAAGTGCAGAAAGACAGCAAAGCAGCCTGACCCTACCAGGGCAGGAGCTGGGAACTCACTGAGTCCAAGAGAGGTGGCCCTGGGCTGTGACTGGATTTAGCATTCCAGCACCAGGGCCAAGGAAGGAGACTCACGTCCCTGTCGACAACATGGTTAAACTATCTTCTGACCTGAACGAAGCCTTCCAGCTCACCGTGATCTGGGTAGTCAGTAAGTCTAATTTTTCCCATTTTCGTTTTTATCAAAGTAGCGCTTCTAATTATTCTGAGCTCTTTTTTTCCTAGAAGTCAAGGTTTATAGTGAAAAACAGTCTTCCGCCACCCCTATCTTGCTCCCTGAGTCCAGTCTTCTGTTTTTTTAAAGGTCGCACCCGGGGGGCTTGGGGGCTTATGTTCGGAGGGACGTGCAGTACCGGAGACCCCCTCAGCCGGAGCACGCCCTCACACACCAACTCTCTAGGACTCAAACGCAATCGCTGGCCGTCACGTTCACTGCCTCTTCCTACCCTCCACTGCCGCTGTCACACGTGGGACTGCACATCTGACTTTGATGCTCACACTCTTGGTTGCATGACACCAGGGACCACCCCCTGTTGGGGTTCAGGGTCTCCGTGGCTGTGCCACTGGACACAGCACCTCCCCGCTGCGGGCTCACCCCTGCGAGGCAGCCTCTAGGTCACCCAACCCCGTCTGCGATTTTTCATTCTATTTCTAAAACATGTCTGTTATTTTTTAATTTAATCAACATCGAACATGGAATGAGTTTTAGATATACATGATTATTTGATACAACGTTATTAAAACAAAAACCAAACACCTGTCATCAGGGCTGAGTTGGCATCCGTACTTTACCAACACAATTATTTAGGGGATTTTTATGATCTAATCTGTTACCATGCCCTCCAGTTCACTTTAAGTAAAACAGCTTCATGTAGAGAAACGTAAGGAGAGTCCAGGAAAGAGGAGAGTCGCAGGTCATGCTACGGGCAGAGACTAGGGGCCACTTTCTGCTCTGTCATTCCCAATTCTATGCTAGCTGCCCTGCCTGCTGTCCTCTGTGTGTTCTGCCCCTCCCCTAAGGCAGTCATGCTTGATTAAAACCGCTTGCTGTGAGTCTGTGTCTGTGTGGCTTGAACCAGGTTCTATGATTGTTGCGCTTTCCTGGAGGGGAGCAGAGGGGACCGGCACCCTACTGGCAGGGCGTGGGCACTGTGTGCTCTGCCCGCAGGAGAACCCACCTTCCCCGTGCAGAGCACATGTGCTGGCCCTTGGAGTAACTCCTCTGCCCAATTTTCTTAAAATTATTAAAAATCCAGGGGCTGCAGCGATAGCACAGCGGATACGGCATTTGCCTTGCACATGGCCGACCCAGGTTCAATTCCCAGCATCCCATATGGTCCCCTGAGCACCGCCAGGAGTAACTCCTGAGTGCAGAGCCAGGAGTAACCCCTGTGCATCACCAGGTGTGACCCAAAAAGCAAAAAAAAAAAAAAAAAAAACCAGTAATTTTTTCCCCTGCAGTTACAAGCTGAGACCTCTCTTCTTCCTTTTTAAATTCACTTAAGCTCCTTTGTAACTGCCCGTATCTTCACACCCTTCAACAACTTCCATGAAATTCTCCACAGTCGGACCCCTGGGACGTGTGCAGGCGCGGGAGGGAGACAGAGTCCCTGGCAATGCTGCCCCTGCGCCGAACCCAGCCCCTCCTGACTCTCCTCTGCAGGAAGACTGGGCGCTTGCGGCCGCTCCTGCCCAAGGCCACTCTGACTTCCCCCTTTTCCGGTGACCCCTACTGTCTCGCTCCCTGCTCTAAAAGGAGATACTCCAGAAGCATTCTGTAAAAGGATGCATGGAATATTTTAAAGGAGAAGGACTAAGATTTGCTGTCCCCAAATTTAATAAGCTCTACCTATTAAGCAACATGTAAGGGGACAGAACTCAGAGTTGGAAAGCAGACAGCGTGCCCCTCTAGAATTGCTGCTACTCTGGAGATGGAATGCCATTCTAATTACCGACTCTCTTTGGTTTTGTGCCACACCTGGAGATTCTCAGGGGTTACTCCTGGCTCTGCACTCAGGAATTACTCCTGGTGTGCTTGGGGGACCATATGGGATGCTGGGGATCGAACCTGGGTCAGCAGCATGCAAAGCAAACACACTGCCCACCGTACTCGCGCTCCAGCCCGATTACTAATTCTTAATATATATGTCTTGTTATTCTGGGAGCTTTATATATATATACACATACACACACATATATACATACAGATATATATGCACACACATATATATGCAGATATATATATGTGTATATATATGTTTTGCTTTTCTGGAAGCTTTTTTTTGTTTTGTTTTGTTTTTGGGACACAGCCTGGCTGTGCTCAGAGCTTACTCCTGGCTCTATGCTCATGGATCACTCCTAGCTATGCCCAGGAGACCATATGGGATGCCAGGGATTGAATCCAGTCTGGCAGCATGCAAGGCAAACTTTGCACCCTACTTACTCTACTATCTCCCCGGCCCTTGTTTACTAATTCTTAATATACGATAGGCTTTTTGTTTTACTGAAAGCTTTTCTCTTTCAGTTTGTTTTCTGGGGCAAACCCAGATGTTCTCGGGGTTTACTCCTGGCTCGATGCTCAGGGATCACTCCTGGCTGTGCTCAGGGACCGTATGGGATGCCAGGGATCAAACCCAGGTTAGCTGTGTACAAGGGAAATACTCTACCTGCTTTACTATTGCTCTGGCCCTCTAGAAGGTTTTGGAATCTTTTCTTAACCCCTGGTATTTGAAGAGTTCATAGTGATATCATTTTTCTGTTGTTTTTTTTCTTCTTCTTTGCAATTATAAAGGACCTTCAGCAGATCTGCTTAAACTACAGAATCATGTCCTGTAATCCAGGGAAATTTTCTGACTTGAGCTTCAGACTAATCACTATTCCTTTAAAATTTCAAGAAGCAGCTCCTCTGCAGATCCATGATTCTGTTCCCAAGATCCCGATGCATCCCATTCCTCAGCCTCTGCAAAGTACTACACAGCAAACACCTTCCACACTGTTCTGCCCCGCTTGTATTCTCATTGGTTCTGCTTCCTCCACTCTCCGGAGGCCGCCATTACTCCATCCACTTTATTTCCCATGTGGCAGAGTTCAGAACTGTAGGTAAAGTAAAAATACTGCAAAAAAGGCTGGGGATGCAGCTCATGGAAAAACATGTGCCTGTCATGTATGATGCCCTGGGTTCATCTCCTGACCAACACACACACACACACACACACACACACACACACACACACCACATACACCCCTCCGAGATAATGGAAAATGGAGTCTGCTTCTCGTAATTTTCTGAGTTTTGCTTTTTGGGGTCACACCCTGCAGTACTCAGGGGAGCCTTTGGTGCCAGGCAACAAACCTAGACCTTCTGCATGCGAAGTATGTGCTTCGGCCCCTTCTGAGTTATCTCCTGACTCTTCCCTTGCTTTCTGAGTTCCTTTAGGGGTGGTATACAAGAAAACAAAGGCAGCCATAGTCTGCAATTTTAAAACTGGATCGCTCCTTCCAGCATGATTAAACTGAATCAAACCTGTACAGAGCCCCCAAATGGCTCTGCACCTCCTAAGCTCAGGCCACGCCCTTCACGATGACTTCGAGCCTTCCCTTAATTCCAGCCCTCCAGTCAGGGACACAGCTTGAAGGTGGAGCAGCTGCTTGCTTGCAGAGCTCCCAGATAAAGCCTGGGCACTGCGCAGTCCCCAAGGACCAATGAGGAGTGACCCTCAAACCACCAAGCTGGCAGGAGGCCAAGCACTGTCAGGTGGGGTCACCAAAAGAAAAAGAAAAAAAAAAGAAAAGGAAAACAAGGCTGGAGACATAGTGCAGGGGAAAGGGCATTTGCCTTGTCTGCAGCCAACCCTCATTCAATTCCCAGCACCGCATACGGTCCCCTGAGCACTGTTATCAGAGCCAAGAATAAATTCTGGGCACCATCAGGTGGGGCCAAAACTCCAGACCGACCCCCCCCCACCAAATTATTTTTTCAGATTTTTTAGGCTGCATGATTTTAAATAATAATAACACAAAACATATAAATCAAAAGAGGGTGGAAGCAAAGTTTAGTGCAGTGGGGAAGGTCCTTGCTCTGCACACAGTTGACCCAGGTTCAATTCCTGGCAATGCAAGCTCCGAAGCCCACCAGGGGTGAATCCTGAGCAGAGAGACAGGAATAAGCCCTGACCATAGCTGGGCATCGCCCCGAAACCAAAGAAAACAAGAACAAACCAAAAAAATTAATTAAAAGGCCAGCGAGACAGTACAGGGGGCTTAAGGCACTTGCCTTGCAGTCCACTGCCAGGACCACAGATGGTCCCTGAATACCACCAGGCGTGACCCCAAGCACACAGGCAGAAGCCCTGTGCATTCCCAGGGGTCCCTCTCTCACACACCCGCCTCCCCGAAAAAAATTAAACGTAAACTACGGGACCAAGGACGTAGCTCAAGGGCAGAGCCTTGTGTGTGTGATGCCCTGGGTTCACTAAACCATTCACTCGTGACTGTACATAGACCTTTCTACGTCGTGTTAATGCTGCAGGTAGGGGATGGAGAAATAGTACGGAGAGGGGAGGGCACTTGCCCAGCACACAGCCGACCTGGGTTTGACACCTGATATGGTCCCCTGAGCCAGGAGCTAATTTCTGAATGAAGAGCCAGGAGTGACCCCTGAGCAGTGCCGGGTGCTGCACACCACCGCCCCCCTTAAAAAAAAAAAGAAGAGAAAGAAAAATCCCTTAAAATGTGTTGAGGTGGGAGCTGGACCGTAGAACCACACGTAGGACATTTGCTTTGCACGTGGCCAACCTGGGTTCAATCCCCGGCACCTCATAGGGTCCCCTGAGCACCAACAGGAGTAATTCCTGAGTGCAGAGCCAGGAGTAATCCCTGAGCATTGCTGGGTGTGACCCAAAAAGCAAAAAACAACTGAAAATGTGTTAAGGAGGGTAAGCAGGAAAAAAAATGGAACGAAACCAGACGGAGCAACACAGTGATTTCGACGATGTCCGCCGCAGGAGAGTGCTGGCCTTGCATGTGTGAGCCCGAAGTCCAACCCCAGGCAACACCAAAAAAGAACAAATGCCGCCTGGCAAGCCTGTGGTCACCAGTTCCGATCCCCAGAGCCAGGAGGGAGCTAGGCAGGCAGGAGGGCTGGGTCTGAGCACCTCGGGGACCCCTGAGTACAGAGAAGCTGGAGCCCTGCCAGGCGTGACCCTGAAAGACAAGGAGACAACACCACGAATCCCCAGGGCCCAGGTACGCAGAGCAAGTGAGTGAGCACTACCCCGTAGTACCACAACCACAATTGCGTGACTCAACTAAGAGGTTGAGCCCCGGGGAATACGTGCATCATCCTCCCCCCTCAAGGGCTCCAGCCACAGTAAGGGCAACCCTCTGTGGCCCCCACAAGTGCCGCAGGCAGGCGCCCTCTGCTCATTGGAGGCACACCCACAAAGGGAGCGAGGAGAGGCAGGAAGGAAACAAGGACAAACCAACGTGTGTACAAAGTCTGTGGCTCAGTCCTTGAACCAGTAATAGGGCCAGAGGGCAGGAGAGACAGGACAGTCAGCACAGGGCCTTGGCCTTGCTCACGGCCGACGCTGGTTTGATGCCCGGTACCCCATCAGGGCCCCCCCACCCCGCCCGGAGCCAAGCCAGGAGTGACCCCTGAGCACCACTGGACAGGTAGCTCAAAAACAAAGCCCAAAAAATTTAACTGAAATATTTTTTTAAAAATTTTAAAAAAACCTAAAATAGGGTCAAAAGAGTAAGTGATTTTCCTTCCCTAAATTGTTTGGGCAATAAGCAGACCAACGACCCGACTTTCAGAGTCATCATGACGGATCTGAACCTATCAAAAAAGAAATCTTTGCAGGCTGGCAAGTGGATGAAAAGGACAGAAGAGACAGTGTCACTTTCAGCCCCTCGCCACCACCGAGAACTCTGACAAACACGGGCACAGGAAGCTAAGGTTTCGGTCAGCCACGGATTATACAGGACTGACGCAAACACCAGTGTCTTCCTGATGTGGAAACCTCGTGCGGCACTCGGACCTTTCCCTTACTGTGCATATATGATGCTGAGCCGCCCTCCCCTGGCCCTGCAGAGACCCTCCACCAGGCCGCCCGAGTTCCATTCCTGCCGGCCTTCCCGTGGATGCGAGCTCCTCTCGCTCCCTTGAAAGCCGCTGGTGTTTTTCCAGTTCATATAAGTCAAAGGCTTCATGTCGTTAATTTCCCGACCTCCCCACCACAGGGAGCTCCAAGAGCTTAAGCTCTGTGAGGGTGGGCCGCAGCAGACACTCCCAGTTTCCTCCCACTCGCCCTCACCAGTCCAGAATTGAAGGAAATCCCAAGGTTGGGGAATTTCAAAGGCATTTTCCTAAATTCTAGTGCTACTTCTTCACGGGGCCAAATGGCACTTTAAATCACACAATCCTGGGGTGAGGGCTTAGGACTGGACTTCACGTGAATTATGTGGACGATAGGTATATAAAAATGACTACTCACGGAAACACGTGGTGGAAAAGTCTAACTACAGCGTGAACAATACCTCAAAGTCAACGTCTGTAACAGATCTTTCGGTCTCAGTCGAACAAAGCACACAAACACAGAGAAGAACCCGACTCACTGCCTGGGGCACAACCGGGGCTGCAGCTCCTACATGAATAGCATCATAAGGGGCTTCTTCGGCATATCCCAGTCTTCCATCCCCCACTGAAAGAAAAACCAATATGCTTTAAAACACTGTGCAGAAAAGAACCACCGTACAGAAGGCATAAAGGGAGGAGAGCATAGGGTTGTTTTTTGTTTTAATAAGTAATACTGGAACAGCTAGACATTTATATAACACCACTACCTCATGCATGCACAAAAATTCCAGACAGAAAATTCAAGCAGTAGAGGTCGGGAGCTGGCTCAAGGGGCTGGGTACCGGGATCACCCCCAGCACCACAGGGTTGCCCAACGGGCATCAGGGGCAGCTCCCAAGCACCACAGCACAAACAGCCCAACTACCACTGGGTGTGGATGTCCCAACACCCGCCCCCCCCCACAAAAAAAAGTCCACAAGGAAAATCAAAAATAGAAATGTGAAGACATGTAAATCTTCTAAGAAATAATATAGGCACATATGTTCATAATTCTGGAGGCAACAAAGATCATGCAGGGTTAAGACATTTGCCTAGCACACGGCTGCAACTGTGAGACTGGCTGGAATCCTGGCACCACATACGGTCACCTGAGCACCATCAGGCGTGGCCCCTGAGCACAGAGCAAAGAGTGGCCCCTGCACATCATCGTGTGTGGCCCAAAAGCAGAAACCACAACAATAAAAGGGGGAACGTCTAACTGCATTAAGATGAAGGACTTCTATTTTTAAAAAAAGTACCAATGTGTGAACCAAAGGTCATGCCCCGGAGTTGGAACAGAGATTTCTAATACACAGAGACAAAAATATTTCGATGTCCTGTAAGTCAACTCAGTATCTGAACAAGCATTTCACCAAAGATAAAATGCAAACGGCAAACACAGGAAATAGTTTTCAACCTAAATACAAAAATACAAAATTTAAACCACAAAGAGATATACTGCTCACTAGGCAGTCCAAAGGAAAAATCTAATGCAAGGGTTCAGGTGAGAGAGTGAGAGGACAGGGGACCACAGCAATTGGATAGCAGGTAGAAAGCTTGCCTTGCATGCTCCATCTGCAGGAAATTGCATGAGGATTGACCCCATTCAATCCCCGCCATTCCATATGTTCCCCCGAGCACTGCCAGGAGTGAACCCCGAGTGAAGAGCCAGGAAGAACCCCTGAGCATCTCTGAGTGTGGCGCAAAAGAAACAGAAAACGAAATTTTTTAAAAAAAGGACACCAGGAAGGCCCTTGCCTTGGGCACTGACTGGTCTTGCAAGTGGCCGACACAGTTCAAATCCCGGCGTCCCCTATGGTCCCCAGAGCCCTGCCAGGAATGATTTCTGAGTGCATAGCCAGGAGTGAGCCATTAGCATCGCTGGGTACAGCCCCCAAAATAAAACAAAAGAAAGAAAGAAAAAAGAGAAAGGGAGATAGTTCAGGGGTTAAGGCTCTTGCCTTGCAAGTAGCCAACCCAGGTTCAACCTCCAGCCTCTCAAAGAGCGACCTCTGAGCACAGAGCCACGAGCAGCCTCCACTCACCCACTCACCACCAGGTGTGGCCCAAACAACCAACCCCCCAAAACTGGAACCCTGGCACACTGCTAATGGGAATACAAATTTGGTTCAGTCACTTTATAAAGGATTTGCTACTCCTATAGTCATCACACTATAAACCTGATTTCAGGTTGGATGTGCTTACAGAAAGGAGGGCTTCAGTGACAGTTACTTATGTTCCTGGATGTGTGTGTGTGTGTGTGTATCTGCTCACAGAAGCACTGTATCCCCAAATTAGAAACAAGTATTCATCTCTAGAATTAATAATTATGCTAATGCTCTTACTATGAAACATTATACAGTAATAAAAATAAACTGTGTGGGCCCGTCAATAGTATAGCAGGTAGGGCTTTAGCCTTGCACAGGCCAACCCAGGTTCAACAACCAGGACCCCTGAGTCCCACCAGGACTGACCCTTGATCAGTGCCAGGAGTATGCCCTGAGTACCACCAGGTATGACCCAGAAACAAAACAAAAATTAAAAAAAAAAAATTTTTTTAAATAAACTGCAGGTCTTACATCCTTCTGGAATTACCGAGTTTTCAGTCTGGGGTAAATAATCTCCCTCCTTTTATTTTATGAGTGACTCTGATTCTCTCTGACTCTCTCTCTTTCTACCCACCCACACCCCTTATATTTCCAAAATAAAACCATTTATTTAAAAAATAAACACTTAAAAATAAAAACAATTTATGGTTTCATTTGTGCAAAGCTCAAAATCAAATGCCAATGAGGGAAGTGTGATTGTTTGTAACAATGATGATACTCATGGCAGGAGATGCAGCTCAGGGCTACAGTATAAACCTCAGATGGAGAGTCTCTGGGTTCGATCCCAAGTGCCACAAAACAAACCATAAAATTTAAAAACAATGCATAAATTTATCATCATGAGAAAAAAGGGAAGAAGTTATGTGGCTTTTTGGGTCGTTGTTGTTGCTTTTCCGGGAGCGAACCCCAGGTGGTATTCCAGGAACCTTGGGGCCCGTTCTGGCAACGCCCAGCCAACGGGGTCTGGAGTCAATACTGGAATCCCAGGACGTGGTGTGGCCAGGCCCTGTAACGCTGGGCACCCCCAGGACTGCATCCGTGGGTGGAGAGAGGGGAGAGGAGCCAGGCAGTGCCAGGACCGGTCCTGTGTCTGCAAAGCATGTGGCCGTGACCCCTGTGCCAAGGTCTCTTTTTGCAGGAGGCTGGGGTGGATTTGTTTTGTTTTGCTGTTTTCTGGGCCACACCTGTCTGGGTTCAGGGCTGACTCCTGGCAGGACTGGGGGGCTCTGTGGGTGGATCCCAGGTTGGCAGCAGGCAAGGCAAGGCCTTACCAGCTGGACCATTTCTCCACCCAGGAGTTATATTCTACGCACTTTTAGTATGTCTGGTTCTGTTTTCTGGTTTTTGTTTTTTCACAACAATGCAAAATGTGCTCACATGGAAGTATGTCTATTAAATATCACTAAAAAAAACACCCTATAAAACAGTATGAATCAATTGTGAAAGCTATATATATAATTCAGTCATACAACTGTTAATAAAGCTAAAAATTTAGAAAAATTTCTTTCCTAGGTTCAACAGCTGCACCGTTTACATTTCTTATACTGGACACACATTACTTCTTGCTCATATTTCGATTATTTTTGAGGCACCATGACTTTTAATACTATTAATGACAGGTTTCGTGTATGCAACGTTACAACCCTGCACTACTCAGCAAGGTAGTGGTCTCGGCACCCCCTCCCCCACACCCCTGCCCTTCTCACTCCTCCCCTCTTCCCCCCACTGTAAAGTCAGTTTGCTATTACCTTTGTTGTTGTTGTTGTTGTTAATGTTAACATTTATTTTCCTCTGATGGTGAGTGCCATTTATTTGCCACTTAAAATTTATTTCCCTTCCAATTAAGTTTAAGTGAAGAATAACAATGTCAAAACATGTCAATTGGGCTGGAGCAATAGCACAGCAGGGAGGGCGTTTGCCTTGCACGCAGCCGAACTGGCTTCGATTCCCAGTATCTCATATTGTCCCCAGAGCACCGCCAGGAGTAATTCCTGAGTGCAGAGCCAGGAGTAACCCCTGTGCATCGCCGGGTGAGACCCAAAAAGCAAAAAAAAAAAAAAAAAAAAAGTGTCAATTACAATAAAAGTGAAAAATATATATAGGAAAAACCAATGGAGAAAGAATTCAGCATCACCATTTTCTGAAACAGTCTGTTACCCCAGTGAAGGTGGAACCGGTCTAACATTTCAGAGTTAATTGCTTTTCTTAATTAGGACTTGAGTGAATATGGAGGCAGGATGAGACCTAGTGGTAAAACATATGCCTTCCATGTGTGAGAAACTAAATTTGAACACCAGCTCAGGGGGAGTTAAAAAAAAAAGCAATTGCTAAAAAAAATGATTAAATAAAGGCAAGAATCACATCTAAATATCAACTATTACATAGGATTTTCTGAAGATAAAATATCTCCAAGGAGAACTTGCAAGGCTGCTGATACTTACCGACCAGCTTCACTCTCCCTGAAGACAAAAGCGCAGGGTCATCCTTTCGGACGTTATTGATCGAGTCATCTACCAACTCTTTAATATGGTCAATTCCTATCACTTTTCCAGTAGAGCCAACCTGCAGGAAGAGAATCATTTATGAACTCATTGTTGAAACTTTGTTTCGGGAAACGATCATAAGTTTACTAATCTGGAGTCAGGGACAACAGTTACAATGGTCAGAACACAAGATCGGGGGCTAGGGAGAGACTCAGCCTAGAACGCAGGCTCTGCCCACAGGAGTCCTGGGTTCGAGGCCCAGCACGCAAGGCTGGGCGCTGAGTCAGGAGCGACCCTCCAAGAACCACGAGGTACGTGTCTCCCCCCCCCGCCCTCCCAGAAAGAAACTAAATAATCCAAGAAAAAGTTTAAACCTCCAATTAGAATAGTAACTGCTCAATTTCTAATTGGCCAATACAACTTTCTTTTCTTTAATGCTGAAATAAATATTTCAGCAATTAGAAGTTAGAAAAAAAATTTTAAAAACTCATAATAGTAAGAAAAATGATGCATTTTTCTGAATATTTTCTTAATATTTTTCAAAAACATTACTTCAATGTCTGATTGGTTGTGTTGTGTTTTTTTATTTATTTGGGGGTTTTTTTGGTTTTTTGGTTTTGGGCTACTCAGCAGTGCTCGAGGACATTCCCAGCAATGCTGCGGAACGTGCCGTGTGGGAATTAAACCCAGGACTCCCACATGCAAAGCCTGTGTTCCAGCCGCTGACCATCTCCCCAGCCCAGCATGGCTGTTCTTCCTAAAGTCCAAGACATTACTGTGTAACTTAGGGGTTCAGGATGTAAAATATTTGCCTTGCATGGTTATTAATGAAATTATTTTGTATTTAAATTCCATCTAAAAGTGTGACTTTACATATTAAAATGTTACATTAAAAAAAAATTGTAGGAGGAGAGACCGGAGTCATAGTACAGTGGGTGTGGTTGCTTGCCTTGCATGTGGCCAACCCAAGTTTGATCCCCGGCATCCCATATTGTGAACCACCAGGAGTAATTCCTGAGTGAGTGCAGAGCCAGGAGTAACCCCTGAGCACTGCCAGGAGGGCTTAAGAAACAAACAACAACACCAACAACAACAAATTGTGGGAATTCAATTGCTGTATGTGAAAAATAGAAACATATTAAAAAGGCCTCCAGAGTAAGTGTATTGGTAATATGTTCATTACAATAAAAACTGAAGAGATGGGGGTGGAGAGAGAGTACAGTGGACAGGTACTTGCAGAAGGACCCGGGTTCAATCTGAGGTACCGCATATGGTCCCCTGTGCCCCCGCAGGAGTGATCCCTGACCAGAGAGACAGAGTAACCCCTGAGTATCCCTTCGTGTGGCCCAAGAACCAAAACAAATAAGCATTAAAAAAAAAAACAACTGAAGAGATCACCTGGGTTTAATCAACTTACTTTTAATTATATAGTAGTAGCAACTTATTCCATGAATCAACTTCTCAACATTAAAAGGGGAAATATAAGTTGATGCGAGATCTAAAGAAATTCCTTACATGCCCTCAGAACAATAACAAGCACATGGTAAATGATGAAAACAATCTAAATTAGTACTTTTATTTTTTTTTTCTTTTTTTATTAGTGAAAAACCATGAGGTAGTTATAGGCTTACAAATTTTGTGCTTGGGTTTCAGTTATACAATGATCAAGTGCCCATCCCTCCACCAGTGCCCGTCATCCATCCCCATGGGTCCCAGCATCCCCCCCCCACCCTCATTCCCCCCCCCCCCCCCCGTCCCATCCTGCCTCTGTGGCAGGGTATTCCCCCTTGTTCTCTCTCTCTTCTTTTGGGTACTGTGTTTTGCAAGAGAGGCTTTGAGTGGCAATCATATTTGGTCTATCGACTACTTTTAGCATGCTTCTCCCACCCTGGGAGGACCCTCACAACACCCTTCATTTGGTACTCTCTTCTCTATCTGAGCTTCCTTTTCACCTAGAGCCTGTGGCTGGCCTTCCATTCATGGAGCAAAATTCCTGGTACTTAAATTAGTACTTTTAAAAGGTAATTCAGATCTAATGAGTTTTTAAAAATCAGTATTTGAAGCCTAAATATGTGAAGTAGAGAGAACATATCCAATTAATTAAATGCTATTTTTAGGCTTTTTGAAAAGATTCCCATCACCTCATTAGTGAGAGCTTAACTCTTACAAAAAAAACTAAAACAAATGTTCCCTTATGCTGTGCCAGATGCTGTTCCAGATGCTAAGAATATAGCAACCAAAAAGAAAAAAAAAAACAAAACATCAAGACAGAATCCCCACCTCCTAGGAGTTTATTTCCCAATGATTGCTGACTATATCTTTTTGCTGCTGGGGGCACTGGCATTCCCAGGGGTACTTGGGAAACAGACCGTGAGGTGCTGGGGACCAAAACCAGGACCCCTGCAGGCACAGTGTCCAGCCTCTGAGCCACCAGCCGGCCCCTGGCCACATACCACTAGCATTAAAAGGAGTTTTCTCAGTGTAGACAAGAGCTCCTCCCTCATTCCTAGCAAACCTGGAGGAGAGGTCAGAGATTAAGGGCCATTATTTTCTACCTGAAGAGAACTTGGAAGAACCCCGTTTTGGAGACACAGGGAGTCATCTTGTGGTCGCCTGGGAAGAGCTTGAAGCCAGCATGTGAAAGGAAATTGGTCAGACCAAGATCCAGAGGAAAAGTCTGTCAGAAGCAACATCGGCTCTGCCTCTGACTCCAGGTACACAAGAAGTCACATAAACCTTCCAACTCCCCTTTTAAAATTTGCCAATTTGATCTGAAAGTTCCCATCACTTACAAGCGGGCGGGGGGGGGGGGGGGAGGAATTCAAGATAATATGTATTGGGGGTTGGAGCGATAGCACAGCGGGTAGGGCATTTGCCTTGCATGCGGCCGCCCCAGGTTCAATTCCCAGCATCCCATATGGTCCCCCGAGCACCGCCAGGAGTGATTCCTGAGTGCAGAGTCCGGAGTAACCCCTGAGCATCACCGGGTGTGATCCAAAAAGAAAAAAAATAAAAAAGAAGAAGATATGTATCCCGGCTGCTATCTTAATGAAATGTTTCAAATAAACTAAGAGGCTGCTCTGCTGTTTGGGGGGCCAGAAGAAAAAGTAAAACTCTTACCATACGTGCAAAACAGGCCGTGAGGATTCCACTTCCAGATCCTACATCAAGAGCTTTCGCCCCTTCATGCAACTGGTCAGCGAGGAGTTCTAGCGCGTACGCGTGCTGCCAAAGGAAAACAAAGCCCACGGGCGTCTGTGAACACTCGGCGTGGAGACAAACCCTGGCAGAGGAAGCTGTCAGGTTTGCCCCCGTCTTTCTCCTACTGAAAACATACCTGCACCAAATTACAGCGGAATGTTGTCACTGTTTACGGTCTTGCTTAGCAATTACAACCTGTGAACTTTTTTTTTCAAACTTAATTCATCCAAAGTGGAAACGCTCCCAAAGAACTCACCGTGAAGAGTTTCCGTTCCACCCCTATTCCCAGCCAGTTTAACTCTCCAAAGGCAAAGGAGGCCACGCCAGTTTTCTGTGGCTCCTTCCCAGTATCTTCACTCTGTGTATCCTAGCTCGAAGGCCCCTTTTTAATCAACATTTAAACCAGCCTATTCATTCTTGATATAATTTTTATTTGTTTTCTTGCGGGGTAACTCCTGGAAATGCTTGGGGAGCAGACCCAGGGACCCCTGCATGAGAAATACGCCCTGCAGTCCTGCGAGCAGTCTCCCTCGCCAGGCTTGTTGATTTGCATGGCTGAGGACTATGACACTGATGTATTATGAAACATTAGCACATCCTTAAACAAAGATACCTGAGTCTGCTCTTCTGTCACAAGACGAAATAATCTTTAAAAGTATGTGTGTAGGGCAATGTAATACTAATGTTAACAGGATAAATTCCAAAAAGTGAAACTGAGGAGAGAGGGAAGTATGTTTGCTTTTTTTGTTTATAACGTATTAATTATAAAGAAAAAAATAACGTTGGGTATGCTTTGAACCAAACCAAGAAATAACACCTCCTTTAATTCATTTTTCTTATAAGCATTCATTTCAGAGATTTTCCAAAACAAGAAGTTTAAAGTAATAAATGTCATTTCAAAAGCGACACGGAAATGTCTACAACAATGATTATTCAAACTCTTGCAGGGGATAGAGAGAGAGTACAGCAGGGAAGGCGCTGGCCTTGCACGCGGCTGTCGGGCTCATTCCCCGCCATCCCAAGCGCTCCCCCAAGCACCCAGGAGTAAGCCCTGAGCACAGCCGGGTGTGGCCCCAAAACAAACAACAACAAAACAGAAACAAATAAAAACACCAAATGTCAGGGTGCGGGGAGGAATCCTGGAGTCTCTGGGGAGGAATGAGAATACTGTATGCCTGAAACCCGATTGCCAAGAACTTTATAAATCATGGTGTCCCATCCTTAGGGGACCAGAGACAGTGGTCAACCCCAGTTAGAATACCAAAACTGGGGCTGGAGCGATAGCACAGTGGGTAGGGTGTTTGCCTTGCACGCAGCCAACCCAGGGTTCAATTTCCAGCATCCCATATGGTCCCCAAGCACCGCCAGAGTGATTCCAGAGTGTAAAGCCAGGAGTAAGTCCTGAGCATCACCGGGTGTGACCCAAAAAGAAAAAAAGAAAAAGAAAAGAGTCAGAAATACCAGATTTTGCTATTCTGCATTTATGAGCACAATAAAATTTTTTTTCCCAGGGGCCTGAGAGATGGTACAGTGGGAAAGGCTCTTGCCTTGTACACCGCTGACCCGGGTTCAATCCCCGGAGTCACATATAGTCCCCGGAGTCTGCCAGGGATTCCGGAGTGCAGAGCCAGGAGTTGTAACTCCTGAGCACAGATGAGAGTAGCCCAAACCACCCCCCCTTAAAAAAAAAAAATCCAGTTTATTTATTTATTTATCTCAAATCTGGAGGTGTAGGGGGACCTGGAAAAACAGTATTCTTATCCTTATTCCACAGAAATTACATTGTGCGGAGCTGGAGCAATAGTATAGTGGGTAGGGCGTTTGCCTTGCATGCGGCCGACCAGGGTTCGATTCCTAGCATCCCATATGGTCCCCCGAGCACTGCCAGGAGTAATTCCTGAGTGCAGAGCCAGCAGTAACCCCTGTGCATTGCCTAGTGTGATCCAAAAAGCCAAAAAAAAAAAAATTACATTGTGCATAAAATTTAGTACATTAAAGCATTTTCTAAGTTCTAAATGATTTACAAATAAAGGATATCATATTTTTACATGAACAAAAATCCAAACATTAGATCGCAATGACCCACTGCTGCTACTTTTTTTTTTCCTTTTTGGGTTACACCCAGCTATGCACAGGGGTTACTCCTGGTTCATGCACTCAGGGGTTACTCCTGGCCATGCTCGGGGGACCATATGGGATGCTGGGAATCGAACCTGGATTGGGCCGCGTGCAAGGCAAATGCCCTACCCGCTGTGCTATCACTCCAGCCCCCCCCCCCCCACTGCTGCTACTTTAAGGTACTTCAAAGTCATCTGTGAAAGTAAAAGGCACCACTGAGAAACCACAGGGTTTAATGCATTTGCCCTGCATCCCACCAAGCCTGGTTTGGTCCCCCAAGTACCCAAGGGTGAGGGGGGAGATGGGAAGGGAGAGGGGGAGGGAGAGGGAAAGACATGAGCATACGCGGGTGTTGCTCAATGACAAATGCAGCTGAGAATTTGATCCACCTGCCAAGCTCACACTGTGACCAGTGAGCCCCAGTAACAGAACAAAGGAAGGGGGAGAGGGGGAGGGAACGGGAAAGGAAGAATGGGAAGGAATAAGAGGGAAGGGGGAGGGGGGAGAGAAAGGGATTGGGGAAAGGAGGAAGAAGGCAGCGGAAAAAGAAAGGGAAGGGGAGGGAGAAAAATAAAATAAAGGCCAGAGAGACAGTAAAGGGATGAAGGCACTTGCTAAGGTCGTTGCTAGCAGCTCCAGGAGTGATCCAGGCACCACGAAATGTGGCCCAAACTATTTCAATTCAGTGTGTGCTAGTAAAAAATTCTCTCAGGAAACCTCTTGGGCAGGGTGGAAGTGCCCCACACTCTCGAACACGCGGGAGTCCAGAGTCAAACCCGGCTCCACAGTCCCACACCACTGCCTGTGGCCCCAACACCCAAAGGAAAAGTAATTTCTAGCTACTATTTACATACATTTTCCTCCTTTTCCCCCTTGTAGTATAATTATCAATACACTATGAGCACGAGCAGACCTTATTTTACCATGAAGTGATGTAAGTTTAAATAAGAACTTCTCCAACCTTAATACCTGCAGAAAATCAGAAAACTTACTGTTAAACTGACATTGAAAACCTAAGAAAACTACCAAAACATAAAAATGCCAGAAGACCAAGTAGGTCCTTCTTGAGTTTTACAATGTCATAGCGGCTATACTTGGCCAGTTCATAATGAATTTTCTATTTAAAAAAAATTTCAACTTGAGATTTCTAGATGTCCACTGCTTAAAATATCTTCTTCGTCAACCACCTCATCACTAAATATAACCTTCGCTATCCCATTTAACGTGATGAGACATACCGACAACCATCCAGAACTTGAATGAGTTCCTACCAAGAATTCCTTCTATAAACTATGTATAAAGAATAAGATACTCATTAAAATCTTTCACATTTATAAATGGTAGCACTGTCCTCCCGTTGCTCAACGATTTGCTCAAGGGGGCACCAGTAACGTTCCATTGTGAGACTTGTTACTGTTTTTGGCATATCGAATATGCCACAGGGAGCTTGCCAGGCTCTGCCATGCAGGCGGGATACTCTCGGTAGCTTGCTGGGCTCTCTGAGAGGGATGGAGGAATCGAACCCAGGTTGGTCACGTGCAAGGCAAATGCCCTACCCGCTGTGCTATAAATGGCAACATGTTATAATGAAAAGTGAAAACCCCTTTTACCAATGGGGGGTGGAGAATGCCGTTATACCCAAATAACAAAAGTTAACTTACCATGTGTGGAGCACTGATTGTTGCTTGGAAACCTGGAAAAGAAGAAGAGAAGAACTGATACATTCAGCTGCAAAACACATCAACTGTTTCATACAATTCCCTTTTGGAACTTCAGAAATTATTTTTCAAAATAAATCATTTTTCATAATCTCAAGCAAAGTAAGTTCCATCTTTGCTTTCCTTTGGAGCAACACTCAGCAGTGCTCAAGGATCACTCCTGGAGGGCATGGGGTGCCAGAGATCAAAACCGGGCCAGCCGTGTGCACGGCAAGTGCCCTCCCTGCTGTGCTGTATCTCAAGCCCCTCAATCTTGTCAGAGTTCTGTCACGCAGCAGACAAATAAAACTATAAAATATAAAATATAATCAACCCAAAGGCTAACGTGCGCAACACTCCTACAGCCAAAAGTGCATAGCTATGAGAAGGAGAATTTCTTTTTCTTTTTTTTTTTCCCCTTTTTGGATCACATTCGGTGATGCACAGGGGTTACTCCTGGCTCTGCACTCAGGAATTACTTCTGGCGGTGCTCAGGGGACCATATGGGGCGCCGGAAATTGAACCTGGGTCAGCCGCATGCAAGGCAAACGCCCTACCCACTGTGCTATCACTCCAGCCCGAGAGGGAGAATTTCTGTAAGTTGAACAAACAAATCCATGATCTTTTCTCTTCAAACTTAGAAACATAAAAGCAGCTTCTGGGGCTGAAGAGCTGGTACAGAGGTTAAAACAACCCCAGCTGAAAACCCCCCACCCCAGGGTCCCCCAAACACTGACAGATCTAGCACCAGAAGCTCCCAAGGCACTGCTGGATATGGCCCTGAAGACCTCCCCAAGCACCACCCTGGTGGTCCCTGGCACTGCAGGGTCTAAACCCTGGGCCCTAGAGTTTAACCGTATGGCCCAATGACCCAGAAGTCCCAGCAATGTGCTTCTCTGGTCCCTGAGCATTGCTTTCTGCGGCTGTCCCTATTGCCGAAAAATATTAAGGGTTGCAAGAAGACTCAAAGGGCTGAACACATACTTTGCATCTGAGAGACCTGGGTTCCATCCCTGGCACAGTCCCAGCACTGTTGGGAGCAACCCCCAAGCACAGAGCTGGGAGCCACCTCTGAGCATTGCCACAAAACAGAAAAACAAAAAACAAGCAAAAAAAAAAAAACTAAGAATACAACAAAGAAAATAGCCTCCCACATAGAACACATAGAATAAGCATACAAATCTTTGCAAAAATTAAAATGCTTCATATTTCTGACAACTTAAGAAAATCTAAAGCAACGAGCATTAAAGCAGCTTCAGGAACTATTAAGTACTGGGGGCTGGAGCAATAGCACAGCAGGAAAGGCACTTGCCTTGCACGTCGCCAACCCAAGTTAGACTCCAGGCATCCCACAGGGTCCCCAAAGTCACGCCAGGAATGACCCCCGAGTACAGAGCGAGGAGTAAGTCTTGAACACCACCAGATATATCACTCATACACACACACACACACACACACACACACACACACACAGAAAAAAAAATATTCACAACTTCAATTTACTTGATCATTCATAATCATTTACATGATCGCTTGGTTTTATTTCTTCTCTCCTGGTGCCGCTTTCTCAAAATGTATTTACCTGCTTCTACATCTGAAGCAATTTTCACTGAGCAGTGGTGGCGGGTGCCTTCGGGGTTCAGAAGCTCCTCAGGATTTTCTCTGCCAACTTACACTGCTTCAAAAGAGGAAAGTATGGCAGCTTGCTGACAGAATCCTAAGGCACTTCTGAGCCTCAAAAGCGCCCACTGCCAACGCTCAGCAGTTTACCAAAACCTCCTTCAGGAGAAGGAGTTAAATATGGAGCTTTCTTGGGGCTAGAGCGATAGCACAGCGGGTAGGGCGTTTCCCTTGCATGTGGCCAACCCAGGTTCGAATCCCAGCATCCCATATGGTCCCCCGAGCACCGCTAGGAGTAATTCCTGAGTGCATGAGCCAGGAGTAACCCCTGTGCATCACCAGGTGTGACCCAAAAAGAAAAAAAAAATTCTTTACAAACACCAGCACACGGCAGAGATGCAGGGGGGCCAAGGAAGTAGAAGTCAACTGCGACTTACTCCACTTATTCCCCAACAGTGACCGATACAGACCAAAAAGCTCCTACAAAACACAATCCCCGGCAATAAAACTCAGTACTCAATCTCTAAGTTTTCATTTAAAACTTAATGGGGCCAGAGAGATAGCACAGTAGGTAGGGTGACTGCCTTGACTGTGGCATACCCAGGTTTGGTCCCAGCATTTCCTACGATCCCCAAACCCTGCCAGGAGTGATACCTGAGTGCAGAACCAGGAGTAAACGCTGAGCATGGCCACGTAAGTCCCAACAGCCTCCCTTCCCCCCAACAAAACTAGAAAAATGTTTTTCCAATTCTTTATACATATATCATGTGTTGTTTCAGATACAGAAAAGAAGGCCAGAGCAACAGTACAGCAAGTAAGGCATATGCCTTGCATATGGCCAACCTGGGTTCAAATCCCAGTACCCCCTATGGAGCCCCTGAGCCCACCAGGAGTGATCCCTAAGTATAGAGCCAGTAGTAAAAGACCTGAGCACAGACAGGTGTAGCCCCAAAACACACCTAAAAAGGGAAAACAGAAAAGATATTTCATATAGAGCATTTTATTAAAATCGGTAGGTTTGGGATTATAAAACTTTGCGGCATAAAGTCTAAATTAACAGGTGAGGGGCTGCTGAAGCGAGAGTATAGCAGGTAGGGTATCTGCCTTGCACGCGGCCAACCCGGGTTCAATTCCCAGCATCCCATATGGTCCCCCGAGTACCGCCAGGAGCAATTCCTGAGTGCGGAGCCAGGAATAACCCCTGTGCATCACCAGGTGTGACCCCAAAAAAGCAAATAAAATAAAATAAAATAAAAATAAATTAACAAGTGATAATAAACAGTCTATTAAAAGACAAATAATAAATATTTGTATATTAAGTTATTTTCACTTACAAAAATTAAAGATTGGGTTAACTGAAATATGCCATTTTTGGAAACTCCAAGCTTACCTATTGATTGCGGCGAATCCATGTAAGGGTTAGATTTTGCATAGTGGGAGCGGTCTGTGGCCAACATTACTTCAAATACTTTATCTGTCTTGATGATTCCATTTTCTGAAACAGAAGAGGCAAGGATTTGAAACATGGAAGTGTGATGCTCAAAGGTGTTCTGGAATTAGCAGGACAGCTGTACTGCAGGGGACTAGACTGGATGAGGAGACACTGGGTTCCATCCCAAGGACTGAGAGAGGGGTAAAAAAAAAACAAAAACCAAATAGGACCGGGCTCAAGTACAGCAAGGTACAAAGGTACAGAGCTCAGAAGGACATGGCTGCCGCCAGCACGGCCCTCGGTGAGCCCCCAGCACCTCTGGGAATAGCCCTGAGCACCTCCTGGCCCCGGTGACCACAAGCACGTGTACGTGAGCCCCACAAATAAGAGGTTGTGACCCCTGACGGCAACCACATTCAAAAGATGCAGGGTCACTTGGTGAGAAGTGTGAGCCCTGGGGAGCAGAGGTGTGATCCCTGGAAGGTACATGTACAACGGAAGGAGTATCACCCCAGGTAAGCATGATGGAGTGTGTGTGCACCGCGCCCCACTTCAGCTCACTGCCATGACCACAGCCGTCATCTGGAACTAGGAGTCTGTGCCTACTTTCTGAGTCCCAGATCTATGTGTACAACTGACAGCTGTATGACTCCGTGTTTTTTGGTTTGTGGGAGGGGACGCACGCCAAAGGGAGAAGAAGTTTCCATTTCTAACGTATGGAACAAGAAACTGAGATTAGGAGCCAGAGCGATAGTATAGAGGATAGGGCATTTGTGTTGCATGTGGCTAACCCCAGTTCCATCCCCGGCATCCCATACACTCCCCCCAACACAGTCAGGAGTAATTCCTAAGCACAGAGACAGGAACAACCCCTCAACATTGACAGGTGTGACCCACCCCCCCCCCCCGGAAAAAAAAAGAAAAGAAATTGAGGTAAAAAATATATCATGCAAAGTTATAAAGATAACCATGAAAGAGAAATCTCAAGTTAGGATAAAAGATGGAGCAGGTAGTTTCTAGGATGTAAATACACATCTATTTTAGCACAGGCAAGAGGATAATGTTTAAAAGTCGATTTAAAAAAATGTTGAAAATTTTAAAAAGCAAGGCCCGAGAGAGAGAAGAGAGTGTGCATGTGTGTACAGAGGCAAGGCACTAGCCTCACGTGGGTTTGTGGGTCAGGTGACCCTCGTTTGAGTCTCTGGCACCATATATGGTCTCCTGAGCACCAACAGGGATAATTTTTTTTCTTTTTTTGGGTCACACCCAGCAATGCTCAGGGGTTACTCCTGGCTCTGCACTCAAGAGTTACTCCTGACGGTGCTTGGGGGCCCATATGGGATGCTGGGAAACGAACCTGGGTCAGCCGCGTGCAAGGCAAACGCCCTACCTACTGTACTATCGCTCCAGTTCCCCCAGCAGGGATAATTCCTGAGCCCAGAGCTAGGGACATTCCTGAGCACATCACGTGTGGCATCCAAACTGCCCTCCCAAGTGAAAATAAAAAGCAACTTAAACCTGATTTAGAGATACAAAGGACTGAAAAGGTAAAGTACTTCAATCTACAGGCCAGGGTGTAGCTCAGGGGCAGAGGGTTTGTCGTACATGGGTGAAGCCCTAGGTTGTCAAGGCACTGCACATAAACAAATAAATAGTGGTCCACTCTAGGTGCTGAGTCTTAGAATGGGAAGGAACCAGGAGCAAGCAACTGTTCCGTTTGGGAACCACAACCAGCAATGCCCAGAGGTTCTCTGGCTCTGCACTCAGGACTCACTCATGGCAGGGCTGGGGGACCATATGGGATGCTGGGTATCTAACCCAGTTGTTGGGCATCTAACCCCTGAGCAAGGCAAGCGCCCTGCCGGCTGTACTACTGCTGAGGCCCCACAATTGCTATTTTCAAACAAATCCTCTAGGGGGCAGAAGAGATTGTACAGTGGGTAGGGCTCTTGCCTTGCACTCAGCTGAAGCAGCATCCCTTATCCAGCCCCGTTGGGAGACTGCTTAGCACGTGTGGCCAAAAACGCACACACGAGTCCTCTATTATTCTATCTTCAGGTACATGTTGCTTGGCTAGATAGTAATCTTTATAATTCTCTTAACCAGTTGGTGCTATGTGTTTACGTAGATGTCGAAACATGATTACACTTCCAATTAGCAAGGCAAACGAAGTGGCCAGAGCTTTTTCTTCGTGGTATAATTTTAATTAGCTACAGTCTAGTCTCCCAGTAGTTTGGTGCAGTCTTACAATTAAACTTGTGTCAACAGAACGTACACAGAAATTATTTATGCCAACAACTGGACAGTACTCATGAAAGGAATAGGGTTTTTCTCTTTCCCTATTTTTTGGCCACATTGGCTGGACACAGAAAGTCAGGTAAACGATCGCCAGGCTTAGAAATGAGGGAAAACTTTCGGGGCTGGAGCAATAGTACAGCGGGTAGGGCGCTTGCCTTGCACGCAGCCGACCTGGGTTCAATTCCCAGCATCCTATATGGTCCCCCGAGCACCGCCAGGAGTAATTCCTGGGTGCATGAGCCAGGAGCAACCCCTGTGCATCGCCGGTTGTGACCCAAAAAGCAAAAAAAAAAAAAGAAAAGAGGAAAAACTTTAGAGAGAGGAGAGCAGGAGAGAAGGATCCTAGGTTCTCAACACCCCATCAGGCATGGAATGTTGCGCTAGGATTGTTATGGAGCAGAGAAGCCTTGATTATGGTGACGCCACTGATGTTTCAGTCTTTATTATAACACAAGGAACCCTCAAGAATATGAGAAAGGAAACGAGATCAGTCAGGAAACTGGAGTTAGAATATGGGAACACAGGGGCCAGAGACAGAGTACAGCAAGGAGGGCGCTTGCCTCGTGTGCAGCCCACCCAGGTTTGATCCCTGGCATTCCACAGGGCCCCCCAAGCACTGCCAGAAGTGATTCCTGGGCAGAGCCAGGAGGTATGAACACTGAACCCTGAACACTGAACCCTGAACACTGCAGGTATGGCCAAAACAACAACCAACAACAACAACAACAAAAAGACATGGTAACAGAATGGATGAGAAGAAAAGTGAGAAGAGGGGGGAGGGGAGGGGAGGGCAAGGAAGAGAAGGCCAAAGAGACAGTACAGTGGGTAAAATGCAGCCTTGAACACGGATGACCCAGGTTCAACCCCTGGCATCCCATAGGGTCCCCTGAGCACTGCTAGGAGTAAAACCTGTGGCCAAAAAAACAAAAACAGGAAGGAAGCAAGCAAGTCTAACGAGGCCTGAAAACTCAGCATGATGGGCTGGAGCGAGAGCACAGAGGGTAGGGCATTCGCCTTGCACACGGCCGACCCGGGTTCGATTCCCAGCATCCCATATGGTCCCCGGAGCACCGCCAGGAGTAATTCCTGAGTGCAAAGCCAGGAGTAACCCCTGAGCATTGCTGGGTGTGACCCAAAAAAAGAAAAAAAAATACACTCAGCATGAGGCAGACGAGGCAGTATTTACACTAACACAGAAAGCACTGGGAAGCCTGGGCAGGACAGTGGCCTTCCAAACCCCGGCCTAACGGAGGAGTCAGCTGGTTGTGTGCGATGGATCTGAGGGGAGGGAACTGAAGGTGCCAAGCAGACATTATGTGTATCACTCCACGTGTGAGCTGAGATCCTACAGGAAGGCAGTACCAGTGAAAAACACAGTGAAAGGGGTGGCCACGGAAGGCATCTGTCGGAAGAGTCTGAAACTATCAATGAATGACTCCTCAGGACCTAAGGCAGAGCAACCCAGGCTGGAGCGCCAGCACCTCACACTAACCAGGCGCTACCCAGAGTGACTCTCAACAAGGCCTCGTGTGACCTAAAAACAAAACGAGCAATCACTGACTTCTATAAAAAAATTTTTTTTAATCTATGGAAATGGAAGAATTGAAAATATTCCTAGAAGAAACTTGAAAAGAGGACCTTATTGGGAGGGGGAGGGAGAGAAAAGGAGGAGTAATTGGCTGAGTGCTGAAAGCACAGGCAAGAAAACGCACTGCAGGGGCCGAAGCGATAGCACAGCCGGTAGGGCGTTTGCCTTGCACATGGTCGACCCGGGTTCGATCCCATATGGTCCCCCCAGCACCACCAGGAGTAATTCCTGAGTGCAGAGCTAGAAGTAACCCCTAAGCATTGCTGGGTGTGACCCCCAAAAAGAATTTAAAAAGAAGAAAACGCGCTGCATAGAGATGGAGCAACAGTACAGCAGGGAGGGCACTTGCCTTGCACGTGGCCGAACGGGGTTCAAACCCTGGCACCCCATATGGTCCTCTGAGTCTACCAGTATTGATAACTGAGTGCAGAGCCAGGAGGAACTCCTGATCATCACCAGATGTGGAAGGAAGGAAGGAAGGAAGGAAGGAAGGAAGGAAGGAAGGAAGGAAGGAAGGAAGAAGGTAAAGATAAATTTTAAGCCATAAACTCTAAATTTGCTACAAAGTTACAGCTCATAAGAGAATTACCTCAATTTACTACTTAAAGCAGTTAATCATCTCTTATTTTTTCCTCAACAATCAACAGGAAATTAGAAAAAAACGGTCACCTCTTACTTTCCATCTGGAAGAATCATGTAAAGTAAGTAGAGCTTGAGGGAGTCAGTACTGACAGTCTGAAACAGATTTGCTTTGAATTCACACTACATGACTAGGGCCAGGGAGCTTACAGCGGGTAGGGCACTTGCCACGCACATGGTGGCCCTGGGTTTGATCCCTAGCAACCCATACAGTCCCCTGGACCCTACCAGGAGTGAGCTCTGAGCATAGAGCCAAAGGCAATTCCTGAGCACCACTTTGGGTAGCCCCCAAACAAACATATTACAATCAAAAAAAAAAAAAAAAGAATTTTATGTAACAGCAAGTTCTAAGACATGTCAGCTGGGCCAGAGAGACAGTAGAAGTAGTCGGGAGCTTGCCTTGCACAGGGCAACCCAGCTTCAATGGGGACACCCTTTGTGGTCCCAAGGCCCAGAGGGAGTAATCCCTGAGTGAAGAGTTAGGAGTAAACCCTGAACACAGTCAGGTGTGGTTAAAAAAAAAAAAAAAAAAGAGTAT